TTAGACTTATTCTTACACTTAAAATTGGACGTAGGCTTCGCTTAGGCTTAGGCTTAGGCTTAGGCTTAGGTTTAGGTTTAGGCTTAGGCTTGTGCTTAGGCTTAAGCGTATTCCATCAACAGGGTAGGCCAGCAGAGATCCTTGAGGAAATTACCCGAAACCCGCCGCGAACCAAAAATACGATAGCCTACCGTACTTAGTTGCATTTTTTTTGAGTATTTCTTGGTGCTGGAAATCAGAAATTCCGACCCTCAAAAGCCGACGCCACGACGCTCCCACGGCGAACTCCGGGCAAAATGCGATAAATCATCCAGGCCCGTGTTTCTGCCGAAATTTACAGACAGAGGCAGGAAACGGGTCGGCCAAGTAGTTGTCATTTTTTCTCAAGTGATCCGTGCTAGCCTGCCCTTTCCTAAAGAATCTCTGCTAGCCTGCCCTTTCCTAAAGAATCTCTGCTATCCTGCCCTTTCCTAAAGAATCTCTGCTAGCCTGCCCTTTCCTAAAGAATCTCTGCTAGCCTACCCTTTCCTAAAAAATCTCTGCTAGCCTGCCCTTTCCTAAAGAATCTCTGCTAGCCTGCCCTTTCCTCAAGAATCTCTGCTAGCCTGCCCTTTCCTAAAGAATCTCTGCTAGCCTGCCCTTTCCTAAAGAATCTCTGCTAGCCTGCCCTTTCCTAAAGAATCTCTGCTAGCCTGCCCTTTCCTAAAGAATCTCTGCTAGCCTGCCCTTTCCTAAAGAATCTCTGCTCGCCTGCCCTTTCCTAAAGAATCTCTGCTACCCTGCCATTTCCTAAAGAATCTCTGCTAGCCTGCCCTTTCCTAAAGAATCTTTGCTAGCCTGCTCTTTCCTAAAGAATCTCTGCTAGCCTGCCCCTTCCTAAAAAATCTCTGCTAGCCTGCACTTTCCTAAAGAATCTCTGCTAGCCTGCTCTTTCCTAAAGAATCTCTGCTAGCCTGCTCTTTCCTAAAGAATCTCTGCTAGCCTGCCCCTTCCTAAAAAATCTCTGCTAGCCTGCACTTTCCTAAAGAATCTCTTAGCCTGCTCTTTCCTAAAGAATCTCTGTAGCCTGCTCTTTCCTAAAGAATCTCTGCTAGCCTGCCTTTTCCTAAAGAATCTCTGCTAGCCTGCCCTTTCCTAAAGAATCTCTGCTAGCCTGCTCTTTCCTAAAGAATCTCTGCTAGCCTGCACTTTCCTAAAGAATCTCTGCTAGCCTGCACTTTCCTAAAGAATCTCTGCTAGCCTGCTCTTTCCTAAAGAATCTCTGCTAGCCTGCTCTTTCCTAAAGAATCTCTGCTAGCCTGCCCTTTCCTAAAGAATCTCTGCTAGCCTGCCCCTTCCTAAAAAATCTCTGTCAAGCTCCCTCTAATTCCCAAACGCTCTTTACTATCTCTTCCACCCATTTTTTAGGGTAAATGTGATGAAGCGCCGAAAAATGGCAATCGGCCTGGACGGCCTGAGCTTGTTGCTCATCTACGTCATCGACGTAAGACCCTTTCAGTTTAAAGGGATCGTGACACCGAGATATCGTCAAAATAACGTTGCTGGACTGTTAGCGGGGGAGACCAAATTTTTCCTTGTGATTCTCTACGGCCCTATAACAAAATACAAACCAATTGTATAGAATTTTACGCCTGCTAAACCCCCCGCTAAGAGTCCAGCACCACAATATCCCTAAAGGGACTGTGACTCAAAAAATAACCGAAAATCTTAGACAGCCTCCACATTCGAATGGTCGAATACCATCCACATTAATGGGAGGGAGTACGTGGAAAAAACGGTGCAGCCTTGGTTCAAAGTTCAGCATCGGCACGAAATGGTAGGATTGAAGCCAGCTTAGGCTTGAGTTAGGCTTCGTTTAGGCTTTGCATAGACGTTGCCTAGGTATAGGATAACCCCTAAGCTTAGGTTTAGGCTTAGCTTGGGCTTAGACTTAAGCTTAGGGGTTGCTTAAGCATAGGCTAGGGACAGCCTAGGCTTGGCTTGAGCTTAGCTTAGGCTTTGCCTCGGCTTGGCTTCGGCCTTGCTTGGTTTAGCTTTTGGCTTGCACTTTGTTTAGGCTTTGTTTAGGCTTTGCTTAGCCGACTTAAGCCTAGCGTAGGATTAGCCTACAACAATATCCGGTTTTCAGGTCGACCCTGATAAAGTTGAGCAGTCCTCTTTTGGCAAGCATTTTGTCCCCGATCAGGATAAGGATGTAAGTGGCTGGGTTACGGTAGAAAGGACGCCGTTTAGCCGCACTATCCGCCGAAATGGAACCCAGAAGAAGCGCTGTACATGCCGTGCCGAGATCGCCAGTGCGTGTGCCCGTATTTTAAAGGTAAGGAAGAGATAAGAAAAGTTAATTGAGGGCAGGCTAGCAGAGATTCTTTAATCTTCCAGGCCAAGTCAAAGATGGGGAATGCCATCTGCCGTCGGGCCACGTACTGAAGCGTGCCCTCCGGAAGGAGATACGCCAGCTGAGGGATGATGAGCGAATGGAGTTTGAGGTGGGCTAGGATTTCGTTTACGCTTAAGCCTAGCCTAAGCCTAAGCCTAAACCTAAGCCTAAGCCTAAGCCTAAGCTTAAGCCAAAGCCTAACCGAAGCCTAAGCCTAAGCATGAGCCTAAGCCAAGCCAAATATAAGTCGAAGCCTAAGCCAAAGCCTAATCCTAAAAACTGAACCAAAGCCTAAGCCTAAGCCTAAGCCCAAGCCTAAGCTTGAGCCTAAGTCCAAGTCATTCCAGGCAGCCGTGAATCGCCTAAAACGCGCCGGCGAGTACAACCGGATCAGCCGCGTACACAAGTATTCCGGCGTACACTCGGGCCCTGGCTTCACTCTGTGGCATCGGGAATTTTTGAAAAGGTGAGAGAGAGAGAGAGAGAGAGAGAGAGAGAGAGAGAGAGAAGATAAAAATCTACTTTTCAGGTTCGAACTCGTGATTCGGCGCGAGATGAATCCGGAATACGGTCACTATCTGGGCATTCCGTACTGGGACTCATCGATGGACTCGCTGATACCAGACCAGAGACACACCGCAATGTTTACGTGAGTGTCGTGAGAAAGAGCTAGAGAGAGCGAGAGGGAGAGAGAGAGCGACGACGAAAGCGATGGATTTCCAGAGTCGAGCTACTTGGCGAGATTGACGATCAAAACCTCGTCCGAACCGGCCCGTATGCAAATTGGACGACTATGGAGGTACTTCCGTGACTTGCAAGTCCCTTTAAAATGCAAAAATCTGGATTCACCGTATCGCTAGGGCCGAGAAGCCATCGAACGCACGATTAGCCACGACAATGAGGGCGAATTCTTGAGTCGAGGTGGGTGAATTTGCAGAGATTTTTTAGGAAAAGGCAGGCGAGCGGAGATTCTTTAGGAAAGGGCAGGCTAGCAAAGAATATTGGCTATAAAAATTACTCTTCCAGCTCGAGTTGATTGGATAATTGATAACCCAGACTTCCGGGCGGTACTGGCGGCCACGATGCCGATCAGGGTAAGGCCGAAGATATGGGTTTTTGCCTTCAAAGTCCCTTTAAATCCGATGTCCTGTGAATTCAGACTTGCCCTACTTATGCAGCACTGGACGATCGATTCCTGGAATACTCCCACGACTATGTTCACTTCTTCGTTGGGGGTGGGTTTGGGGGCTTATGGATTTTGACTGGAAAAATGAAAACTGGAAACTGAACAAAAACAAACTGGAAAACTTAAAATGATTTTTTTAGGCGACATGGGCCATTCGCACTCTTCTTCGAATGATATCGTGTTTTGTCTGCATCATTCGATGATTGATAACATTTTTGAGCTTTACAGGCAGAAGAGACAGGTGGGAGATAGAGAGTGAGAGAGAGAGATAGAGAGAGAGCGAGACCGACAGAGAGACAGAGAGAGAAAGAGAGCTAGAGAGATTCTAAAATTTTCAGAACGAAACTCAACGCGAAACGGTCTACCACGAAAACGATGAGCGCTGCTTCCCCCCGTGGCACAACGGCGACATGTTCATGCCCTTTTTGCAGCCCTACACGAACAAGGTCGGGGCCAAGGTTAAGCCAAGTCAGTCTTGGGCTTAAGCCAAGCTCAGGCTTGGGCTTAGGCTTAAGCTTAGGATTAAGCTTAGGCTCAGACTTGGGCTGGGGCTTAGGCTGCGGCTTTGGCTTGGGCTCGGGCTTAGTCTGTATCCCCACCTGAACGCCTTGAACTTGAGCCCTAGGACGCCCTCTCAAATCTCTACACACGCCACATGTACGAATTTGCACCGCGACCAGCCTGTACCAAGGAAAAAATGGAATGTGGATCCAAGTGAGTCTCTCTCTCTCTCTCTCTCTCTCTCTCTCTCTCTCTAGAACGTTTAATTTTTCAGGTTCCTCTTCTGCCACGTATTCGAGGGGGAGCCGCTCTGCGTCGCGAAGGTAATTACAGAAGCGTTTGGGTCTCTCAAATGCTCTCTGCTAGCATGCCCTTTTTCCGCAAACGGTCTCTGCTCGTTTACCGTTGATTTTTAAGTGATCTATGCTAGTTTGCCCCATTTCCCAAATGATCTCTGCTAGCCTGCCCGGCTGCTTGACCTAGAGCTCTAGCTCATTTTCCACTTGCTGTCACGCTCCCTTTAAAATCAGCTAAAAATCCGTTAAAGCTGATAGTAATGTTGCGCTGATTCGCAAATTTTTTTGAGTATTTTGATTTTGAGATTTTTGCCTTGCACGTCCCTTTAAAAACCAAAATTTTTTACAGCCGTTTTTGTTCAGATTTTTCATCAATTTTCAGGTGAAACTAGGCGGTGACTGTTCGGGTTTCGAGGCCCCGGGAGTTCCGGTATGCTACAAAGGACACTGCGTGCGGGGCGTCTGCCAGAAAATGGACCCCCAAAAAGAGGCGGCATTGAAGAAGATCAAAGAAGCCAGCCGACTGGCTAGAATGTGAATAGAAAGGCGAATAAACAGGTTGTAAATTGTTTTTTTATGTCTGATCGAATGCGGTAATAATTCCCCAAATGGTCTCTGCTGGGCTGGCATCCCGCGGTCATTCGGAGCGCGGTTTTTGGATCAGCTCGGCCATTTTGTCGCGATTTGCTTCAGAATCCATGGCCGCACCCTCGCTGTACCAATCCTGGAAGCTGAGATAGCGATGAGAAGCAAAGACAAAACCTGAGCCCAAGTAAGACGAAGCCTAAGCCTAAGCCTAAGCTGAAGCCTGAGCTTAAGCAAGACGAATCCTCAGCTTACGCCTAAGCCTGTGCCTCAGTAAGACGAAGCCTAAGCCTAAGCATAAGCCTAAGTCTAAGCCTAAGCATAAGCCTAAGCCTAAGCCTAAGCCTAAGCCTAAGCCTAAGTAGGCCTAAGCATAAACCTAAGCCTAACCTAAGCCTAAACCTAAGAGAAGCCTAAGCCTTAGTCTAAGCGTAAGCCTAACATAAGCTTAAATAAGCTTAAGGCCAGGCTGAAGCCCAAGCGTAATCAGGACGAAGCCTAATCCTAAGCCTAAGCCAAGCCTATGCCTAAGCCGAAACTAAAGCAACCCGCCCAAATGGCCTTTGCCAACCCGCCCGACTTGCCGTTCCGTCGCGTTGAGCCCGAAGAAGGTAGTGATGCTTCCATCCGGGGTGCTTGAAGACTTCGAGCTGCAAAAAGCAAGCGGCCTTAGAGGGTCACTGAAGCCATGGCGAGGCTGCCTTCATTAAAGAGATACCCGCCCGTACCTCTAAACTCACCACAAAATACCGAGAAGCCTCCTGGTCGGGGTACCTGGCAAAGCCCTTCTCCATCAACGTCCCCTTTTCGCCGACCACCTTCACGTTGAAGCGGTTTTTCTCTTTCCTGAATCTGGTGGTACTGGCGGTGTGACGATCAGTCTAGCCGGAACCCTTTGAGAATACCGAAAACGCACACGATGAGCACACAAACGATGGTGTCCGCCTTCTCCACCTCGGACTCCTTGACCTTCCAAATGGCCGACCACTCGGTGTACTTTCCCTCGTGCACGTGGCGAAACTTGACGCGCTCGTCGGTGTGCAGCCCCACGACAGCTTCCGCTTCTTGGCACTTCTCCGGGTTGTCACTACTAAAAAGCGCCGACAGGATGTCCCAAAAAAGGCCCCCTCTAACGGTCCAGAGCAAGCTGGGATCGGGAAGATTTCAAACCATTCGAAAGTCCTCGGAAAGGCGAGAAAACTAGCGTTTTTAGTTTTTCAAAATTTTTAGGCTGTTGCGGGATATTGAATGATTCCCTAAAGAAGGGCAAAAACAGCGTCGCTCCGTCAGTTTCGGCAAAGAATTGACGTGCGAATTTTTTCATAAATCAGCATTTTTCGTGGATTCTGGTTGCAAAGTTAGTGAATTAGATGGCCTAATTTTTTTGCATAAAGCGAGGGGTTTCACCGGAAATTATATATAATTACTCTATGTAAATTTCGACATTCTGTATTTCGACAATCTGAAATTTCGAGATTATGAAACTTCGACGTTCTGAAATTTCGACATTCTGGATTTCGACGTTCTGAAATTACGACATTATGAAATTTCGACATTGTGAATTTCGACGTTCTGAAATTTCGACGTCCTGAAATTTCGACGTTCTGAAATTTCGACGTTCTGAAATTTCGACGTTCTGAAATTTCGACGTCCTGAAATTTCGACATTGTGAAATTTCGACATTTTGAAAATAGGCCGTTCAAAGTAACCCGTATAACGCACTCCCAGGCGTCGCCCAGCGACTTCTTTCCATCCTTCAGATATGCGCCCAAGTACCTAAGAGGAATGTTGCGCAGAGTTCGAAGCTACAGGAGGTGTCCCAAAAAAAGTACTCCTCTCCAGCGGTCCGTAGAAACCTCCGATCGGGATGATTTTACCATTTACGCATTCGAAAGCACTCGAAAACCCGACAAAGCCGGCGGGTTTCATTTTCTCAAATGTCATTCCCTCGATGGCTAAAATTTTTCTAAAAAAACCCGGCAGTTTTTCAAGCAGAATTTCGTAATTAGCATGCAGATCTTGCATAAATCAGCAGTTTTGATGGTTTTTGGACGTAAAATTTGCGAAAGACAATACATAATAGAGGAAGAATGAACCCTCCTTGTTTTCTCGCCATTTCGAGAGCTTTCGTGAGATTTCGTGAGTGAGGTGAAATCGGTCGCGATTGCGCGCCGCTAGAGGGGCTACCTTTATTGGGACACCCCGGTAGTGTGGCACAAGCTTCCATTCCGCCCCGAATAACAGGGGAGCAAACCTACTCAGTGTTATAGAGAATGTCCGTTCCACTGCCGGCCGTCATATTCCAGACGCAGGCGGCCACAAAGTCGTTGCCACTCGAGTCGAGGCCCTCCATCAGGTCGATATATGGCAGGTCACCGTCATCGCCCAGGATCAGCCGCAGCAGCGTGGCTAGGCCTGTGAAGGGATAAGTTGGCGTCGCGAAGTGCGACCTAGCCTCTTGTGTAGAATTTTTTTTTTGCTGATCCGAGGCCGGGTTCTTAATCATTTTCGCGGGGGACCAAATTTTTTTTTCCTAAGGATCTCATTTTTCAAATATCAATGGTGGAAGTGTTTCTGAATGGTTTATTACTATTCCTAAACGTGAAAACTTTAAAAAATTTGTATTAAAAAAAACATCAAAAAATATCGATTTTTCGACCACAAAGGTCCGATTTTTGGCGAAATTCGACTTTTTTTAGAGTTTCTAGGTAGTTTTTCGATAGTTTTCCTAGTTTAAAAGAGCTATATATTACTAAAAAAAACGTAAAAGACGGTCTATTAACTCTCGACTTCACAAAAAGCTTCTCTCGGACCTAAAAATGATCGAAAAATAGCTCTAACTTTTTAAGTAGGAATTATAGGACTATTGAAGTGCTATTTCTTTGCAAATAATCCCTGCTAGTCCGCCTTCAACACCGAAACGGACACCCGGCGTGTGGGCTGTTTTTTTTTTTGTTTTTCTTTGAATCAGAAAGACTCAATCCTTACCAAAAACCGCGAACAGCAGGGTGCTCCTGAATTCGTGCCGCATTTCGGATAAAAATCTCACAAAAACGGTCTTATACGTTGGAGCAACATTACGTATACGTTATATCACCATAAGCGTCCGAATATTCAACAGAAACAAGGAGTTGCGGCAGTTTTCGATTAGGAAAGCTAATACGTAGGGAACTAAAAATCGTATTGCCCCAGGTTCGGTACGCGGTGTGGGGATTGAAAACAATTTATTCGTCCTCCGAACGTTTCGGTTTTTCATTGGAGATCCGGGGTTTTTGCAGTAAATCTGCCATCTCCTTCCGCTTCTCATCGGTGTCCATAGCCCCAGCCGCACTGTAGAAGTCCTTTAAAGGGGTTGCTAACCGAGCAGAGATTCTTTAGGAAAAGGCAGGCTAGCAAAGATGTTTTATAAGCAAGGGCAGGCTGGCACACATTCTTGAGGACTTCAAATTCTTACCCTCCCATCGCGCTGCGCCCTCAGCATATAGTCATGGCGCCAGCCGTCCTTGTTGAAGACCTCCAGCTAAAAAAGAGCTCGGAACCTACACCTAAGCCTAAGCCTAAGTCTTAGCTAAGCCTAAGCTAAGCCCAAGCCTAAACCCAACCCATTCCCAAATTTTTAAAATTACGCTGAAAAACTGCGAGGGCTCCTGGTCGGGAATACGGGAAAACCCCTTCTCCTGGACGGCGCTCTTGTCGGAGATGATCTTCACGTTGTAGCGCCGCTTTTCCTTGCTGAAATTTAGGAATGAAGGCATAAATCACGACATGCACTATCATGACGCAGATGACGGTAAGGTTGCGTTCCTCCAGGATCCAGTCGGCTGCGGAATTGGTGTATTTTGCCTAAAACGGGGTTTCTGAATTCGTAAATAACCTCTGCTAGCTGCCCCCGCTGCGCCCACCTCATTGACCTGCTTGAACTTGGCGTTCCCGTCGAGCCGAACCAGAACAATCGCCTCGGCTTCGGTGCACTGCGCCGGTGACGTTGAGCTGGAATCTCTCTCTCTCTCTCTCTCTCTCTCTCTCTCTCTCTCTCTTTGTCTCTGTAACTCGCTCTTTCTCTCTCTATCCCTCTCTCACCTCCACGGGTCCCCCAAAGATTTCTTTCCATCCTTAAGGTACACCCCGAGATATCTGAAGGGTTCAAAAATTCACAAAAATTTAAGTCAGTGGCTACGGTAGTCTGGAGTCGAGATTCCACACACAAGCTGCGACAAAATCTCCTCCGCTGGAGTCCAGCCCCTCGACCAAATCGATATACGGTAGATCCTCGCTGGCCAAAATGAGTGCTAAAATTTGAATATAGAGGTTTCCCCAATAATCTCTGCTAGCCTGCCCTTTCCTAAAGAATCTCTGCTAGCCTGCCCTTTCCTAAAGAATCTCTGCTAGCCTGCCCCTTCCTAAAGAATCTCTGCTAGCCTGCCCTTTCCTAAAGAATCTCTGCTAGCCTGCCCTTTCCTAAAGAATCTCTGCTAGCCTGCCCTTTCCTAAAGAATCTCTGCTAGCCTGCCCTTTCCTAAAGAATCTCTGCTAGCCTGCCCTTTCCTAAAGAATCTCTGCTAGCCTGCCCTTTCCTAAAGAATCTCTGCTAGCCTGCCCTTTCCTAAAGAATCTCTGCCAGCCTGCCGGCTGCACCTACCCCACAAACTAAAGAAGCTGACGAGCAGAAACCGGAAAAGCATCGATATCGGGGCAGGCTAGCACAGACCCTTTAGGAATCAGACGTTTCCCGGAATTATCGATTTTGGGAAGCAAAGTTTGGAGGGTCGTTGGTAATCGCGGCCCATCTCAATGCGGTACGACAGAATACAAATTACGGCCTAGCCCGTAGCCGCCGTAAAAAGGTGCAAATCGTATCAGGAGATTGATTTTTACCAAGTTTTTTGTAATGATAATTATATTGATGCGGAGGCGCTGGCTGCCGGGCTGCTTGAATTGGTAGGCAACGGTCTGGGCCTGGGCTTAGTCTTGGCCTAGGCTTGGGCTTAGGCTTAGAGTTAGGTTTAGGCAGGCTTGGGTTCAGGCTTGGGCTTAGGCTTAGGCTTGGACTCAGATTAGGCTTCGGTTTTGGCTTCGGTTTAGGCTTGGGATTAGGAATAGGCTTACGCTTAGGCTTTGGCCTAGGCTTAGCTCAGGCTTAGGCTTAAGCTTCGAGCTCACGGTTGGGCTTGGCTTAGGTTAGGCTTAGGCTTAGACTTAGGCTTAAGCTTAGGCTTCCGCTTAGGCTTAGGCTTGGCTTAGGCTCAGGTTTAGGCATAGGCTCCGGCTTCGCCGTACGCTTAATTCCACATTTCCCCAGGCTTCTCCGCTACGTGGCCCTCTTCGTGACGCTCGTCTTGTTCAGCATCTTCTGGGTTTATTTGGTGAGGAAAATAGCTATATTTAGCTGAATAATATTTAAGCTATTTGAAACCTGTTTTTCAAAACCTTTTTCCAGGCCAGCCACAGCATGATCTGCCCGCGACAATACGTCGAGCACCTGGACTTGATGATATTGGGTAATTACGGGGGTTGGCAAGGGATTAGCCTTAGGCTTAGGTTAGAGACTTAGGTTAGAGGTTAGGTTAGCCTTTTGTTAGACTTACGCAGGCTTCAAGGCCATGGATTTGCTTTTGAGGTCCCTTGAAAACCCCCGCATTTACAGAGTACGGTGACCTGTCAGCGCGTTGCTTCTCGGAACGGTACCCGCTGGTGGCGGTCAGTGGGGACGCTGAGACGGCGGACGCGATACAGAAAAGTGGGCTTACGCCCAAGGCTTAAAAAGTAACTTGGGTTTTGTAGTCAATTTTCTGCTCTTTCAAACGCACTAACCCACATTGCTGTAGCACATTCCTATGAGAAGATAAGTCGACCTCAAGTTTTGCTTAGGCTTAGCTTAGTCGGAAGCTTAGCTCCCGTTTCCACACACTTTTTAGAATACGGCTTCACGAAAGTGCTCGGCTTCGTCGATCCGGGTGGTCCTGATTACTATGAAATCCGAGGCCTTCGATTTCTGCGTATTATGCCGATGTGAGGGAATACTTCTTTCGATATCCCTCTTTAGCCTTCTTTAGCCTAAGCCTAAGCCTAAGCCTAAGCCTAAGCCTAAGCCTAAGCCTAAGCCTAAGCCTAAGCCTAAGCCTAAGCCTAAGCCTAAGCCTAAGCTTAAGCCTAAGCCTAAGCCTAAGCCTAAGCCTAAGCCTAAGCCTAAGCTTAAGCCTAAGCCTAAGCCTGAGCCTAAGCCTAAGCCTAAGCCCAAGCCTAAGCCCAAGCCTAAGCCTAAGCCTAAGCTTAAACCCAAGCCTAAGCCTAAGCACGTAAGTGGGCATTCGATTACGCGATGCAATAAACGAGATCTTACTTCAGGTCCGCGTTCAACCAAGCCGATCGCATCTTGTACCCAAAAAACTGGGCCCTGCATCAGAAGTTGTGGGACTATTCGCGGAAGATGAAATGTTTGAAATGTAGGAGAGAGAAATGGAGAAAGAGCGAGAGAGTGAGAGAGATAAAAAAAGAACGACAGAGAGCGAGAGAAAGCGAGAAAGCGAGAGAGAGAACGAGACAGAGAGAGAGAGCGAGCAAGAGAGAGATAGCCAAATCGAGCGCGACCGAGAGATCGAGAAAAAACACTTTTCAGTAAAAGTCAACACGACGGGGCGTTATCGTCGTTATATCCTGCCAGAAGACGTGAAATGGTTGGCGCACCTTCGTGATTTGTCCTTCCGCTATCAGGCCGTGCCGATGTTGTTGGCCGGCACGTTATTGGGTCAATTTTATATCTTTATCTTTCTCTCTCTCTCTTGCTCTCTCTCGCTCATTCTCTCTTTCTCGCTTTCTCTAGCCCTCTCTCTATCGCTGCATTTCCACTTTTTCAGGCTGGCGTCGCGAGTGCGGCTTCATCGCGCACACGCCGGACATGGACGTCGGGTATTTCGAGTCGGAGTACCCGTATCGGATGGTCGACAACATTATCGACACCGGGAACGAGACGTTCGGGATATCGAGGATTCTCGGGAGGGTTGGTGATTTCTCACTCTCTCTCTCTCTCTCTCTCTCTCTCTCTCCTCTCTCCCTCAACATAATCAGCCCGGCGACAGCTACGAAGTCACCGTCCGCGTCCGCGTCCGCGCTCCCTCCTTCTCCATCGACCTTTTCACGGTCTATCTCGACGCAAAACTGGATCGGAACTATATAACAATGGTCGGGAAAGATGAGAAGTACCGCCAATATTATCCGAGGTATATTAACGATTCACTAGAATCCTACTATATATAAAAAAATAGTGTCTGTGTGTGTGTCTGTGTGTGCCACTTTGCATCCACTTCCGGATGGCTGTCCGGAGGATATCTCGATAGGGGATGAATTTTAAGGTATGTATGATACGTCATTAGATGCGTAATGGCCTGGAGATGACTGCACGCATATCAGATTTAACAAAATCACCTATTTTCGACATTAAATTTAAGTTTTTGTAAAAACATCTTTGTTAGGAACAATTAGCGTAGACCGGAAGTGGGGATTCGACTATATAAAGGGGTTTAAAAGGTAGTTTTTCATTTTTTGTCATCTGAATTCAGGAAAATTATGCAAAGTGAAGGATAAAACGGGGTCAGACGGGGCCAGGGTTGAAAAGCCGCGAAGCGGCTTTTCAACCCTGGTTTAAAAATAATTCTTTAATTCCATAAATTGAATTGGTATCATAATGTCGAAATTCATAATGTCGAAACTCATAATGTCGAAATTCATAATGTCGAAATTTCATAATGTCGAAATTTCATAATGTCGAAATTCATAATGTCGAAATTCATAATGTCGAAATTTCATAATGTCGAAATTTCATAATGTCGAAATGTCAGAATGTCGAAATTTACATAGGCTAATATTACCGGTGAAACCGCCAAAACCTAGCCAAAAAAATTTTTCCACATTCTATTTGTTTATCTTATTTCACGACAACATTTTTTGCCTAGAATTCGGGGACTTTACCGGGAATTTTAGCTTATGTAAATTTCGACATTCTGACATTTCGACATTATGAAATTTCGACATTATGAAATTTCGACATTATGAAATTTCGACATTATGAAATTTCGACATTATGAAATTTCGACATTATGACATTTCGACATTATGAAATTTCGACATTATGAATTTCGACATTATGAGTTTCGACATTATGAATTTCGACATTTTGAAAATAAGCCCCATAAATTCCAATTCTGAATTCTCAGAATCAAGCATCTGTGCGCAGCCGCCTTGCATGGCAGCATTTTCTACGTGCCGTGTATGGCGGATGAGATTCTTCAGGTGGGTGGAGAGAGAGAGAGAGACAGAAAGAACGAGAGAGAGGGTGAGAGTGAGAGAGGGACAGAGAGAAAGAGAGAGAGAGAGAGAGGGAGAGAGAAATCACACGATGGAGAGAAGGCGAGAGTGAGCGAGAGAGCAAGAAAGAGATAGAGCTAGAGAGAGAAAGAGAGAGAGAGAGCGAGAGATAGCGAGAGAGAGTGAGAGAGAAACGGAAAACCAAATACCCGATCGATCGCACCATGTAATTCCAAATCAATATGTAGAAAATGACGACCGGGAAATTACATGGCGTAAGCGATCAAGTGACCCATGTCTAACCGGGTATAAGCTGATCTTGCCGATTCACAGAATGCCGATTTACAGAATGCCGATTTACAGAATGCCGATCTTACATACTTTCGGTTTTACATCAAAAATACAAACCGGATCCCCATAAAAAATATTATCCGACTTGGCCATGGCGAAGCCGTAAGATCTGAGGCCTGGCTTTATTTTTCCTTTTTTTTCATAAAAAATGCTTGGGCATTGGCTTCGGCATAAGAAAATTGGATAATTAACCGCAATTAACGCGCTAACAATCCCCTCCCCGCTAACAGCCCAGTACCGAAACCCGTTGATTCAGGCCGACTACGGCGACGATTGGCAGCGCGTGGTGATGTCGCGCAATTTCAGCTGGAACCACGGCCCGAAAAACGTCGTAAAAATTGGCGAGATTTCGCCGGAAGAACGGTGGGCTTTGTGGTAGTTTTTGGAACTGATTCCTTGGATTTTCAGGGCGGCCTGGATCCGGAAATACCGTTAAAATCTCATTTTTGGCGCCTCGTTTGGGCGGTGGTTCGAGTATAGCATTTATTCCGAGTGTGTCAGCGATCGGGAGGACGGAAAAATACGCACCAAAAACGGAGGGCAAAGATGCACACAAAGAAACGAGATCACGGACACGAATAGTTTGGGGGGTTTAAAGGCGGTGGGACAGCAGAGCCGAGGCGGGAGATCGAGGAGGCCGAGGAGAGGGGAGGAGGGCGAGAGTGAACGACAGCTTCATACCATCGGCAAGAAGGTGGGGTAGCGAGGGCGACCTGGAAATCGAAATTTATGCTCTTTCTCGCTCTCTCTCGCTCTCTGTCTTCCCTCTCTGTCTCTCTGTCTCGCTCTCCCTCTCGCTCTCTTTCTTGTTCTCTCTCATTCTCTCGCTCTCTCTTTGGTTCTTTGTCTATCACCCTCTTGCTCTATCTCTCTCCCTGTCTCGATCGCACTCTCTCCCTCTCTCTCTCTCCCTTTCTCCGTCTCTCTCTCTCATTCTCTCTCCACCCCAAAATTCCCACGTCGCCACGGCGATGGTGTGTACGTCTCCTGCGACTCCGAACCACCCGACGAGCGCGACTTGTCGGCGTCGGCGGCAGCGGCGCCCGTCTTCGTCGTGTTCGACGCCCTAGAAAAACCAAGGATCGAAAAATAGAGACAATCCCCACTTTGTCCTCTCCTTCTCGGTCTGCGTCTTGTTCTCCTTGAGCGTCTCGGTATTCTTCTTCCTGGCCGGCTCGGGCTTGGCCACCTTCCGGCTTCCGCTCTTCGAAGAGTCACCCTGCGTGTTGTCCTGCGTGCGCTGCGTCGCCTCGATGTCGGGTTCATCCTAGAGAGGGCGATAGAGAGTGATCGCGAAAGAGAGAGAGAGCGAGAGGGACCACCGACCCCAAGCAGCACACGGGCATCGCTGCGCTGCTTCTCCAGCGCGATACGCTGCGTCTTCTGCCACTGATGGACGAACTTGGCGCGCGAGGCCCGGCGGTCGAGCTGGAATGCGAGAGAGAGAGAGAGAGAAAGAGAGAGAGAGAGAGAGAGAGAGAAAAAGGGAGAGCGAGAGAGAGTGAGAGAGGGAGCGAGAGAAAGTTCCGTCCCACGTACCTCAAACAGCACGTAGATGAACGGGGCCAACAGCAACCAGGTCACCGAGTACAGCAACAGGCCGCCGAAGGACAACTAGGAAATGCGAAAAATTTGTGCCACGGCCAAAAGCCTACCCAGAGCATCATCTTGTAGCGCTCCTTCAGCACGGCGTTGCAGCTCCTGGAAGGAATTGTGATTTCCTAAAGAATCTCTGCTAGCTACCCGCTTGGGAAGGTGATCGTCGTCGTGTTGGCGTCGCCGGACCGCTTCTCTTTGAACGGGCAGGCCTTGATGCTTTTCTGAAAGTTGCAGCTCTCTCCTCTCGCTCTCTCTCTCTCTCTCTCTCTCTCTCTCTTTCTCCCTCCCACCAACAACAATCTGGAGACGTTGTGCAGCGTCGTCTGGGCGTCATGCACCCCGCAGCAGTTACCGTATTCTTGGATCTACAGTAAGCCTTGGAGTTTCAAACCAAAGATGACGAGATCCACCTTTCGCACGGCACAGTCGTCCATGGCCGCCATGTTGTAGGAGGTGCACCCCTTGGCTTTGCCCTAAAATTATGAAGATGAAGCGCGCGAGAGAGAGAGAGAGTGAGAGAGAGAGAGAGAGCGAGAGAGCGAGAGAACCTTACCGCGGCGGTCGTCCGGTTTGCCAGCTTCAACTTGGCCGCCACCCAGTCGTCGTAGCGCACCATCGACGGGTTGTACATGTAGGCTGGGTGGGCCACGTGGGAGATGTACAAGCCTGAAATCGGTCTCTCTCTCTCTCTCTCTCTCCCACCTGCCGACGCCCAGGGCACCACCAAGCAGATGTGCAGCCCCACCACCGCCACCAGCAGGCTCTTCTTGCATAGCGCGTTCTGAAACATCAAGAATCTCTGCTAGCCTGCCCTTTCCTAAAAACTCTCTGCCAGCTACCTACCCCAAACTGTAACACAAGTATTGTCGAGTCGAGCAGCAACACGAAGATGCCCAGCACGATGAAGATGATGAAGAGCACCTTAAAACCACTATTGGCGTCAAGTTCAACGAGTTCAGTTCCACTAACACTTACTCGCAAATCGTGCGGCCTGGTGCCGAGCTGGTAGACGGGGCCGATGCCGGCGTGGTACAGGCATACCTCGTAGACCACTGGAAAGGGCAGGCTAGCAGGGATTCTTTGGGAAAGAGCAGGCTAGCGGCGATTCTTTAGGAAAGGCAGGCTAGCAGAGATTCTTTAGGAAGCGGCAGGCTAGCAGAGTTCATTGGGGAAACGGCGATTACCAGAGAAAAGGTAGCAAATCTTGGCGACGAAGATGATCCAGGGCAGCTAGAAGCACGTAGAAGCCATGGCTTTAGCCTGTGTTTCCAACCTTTTTGAGGAACCCCTTCAGCTTCTCGACGCAAGCCTCCTTCACCTTCTGGCCGCACGTCTTGCTCGGGGGCTGCTTCTCGCTTTTTGCGGCGGCGGCTGAAATAGGCTTAGGCCTGGGCTTAGTTTTGGTTTAGGCTTAGGCTTAAGCTTAGGCCGCGCTTAGGCGTAGGCTTAGGCTTAGCTTAGGCGTAGGCTTAGGTCAGGCTTAGGCCTTGGCTTAGGCTTAGCTTGGCTTAAGCTTAGCCATATATTAGACTTAGGTTTCGGCTTTTTAGCTTCGGCTGGAGCTTGAACTTTGGCTTAGGCTTAGGCATAGGTTTCGGCTTATCCTCCCACCAGCAGCTGCTGCACTCGCCGTCGTCGGCCGCTTCGAGGACGATACCTTCGAGGAGGGTCCGTCGGCCCTCGACGACATCGCGAGGGTGTGAAAATGCACCAAATTTTCAAGAATGCGCTTTTCGGAATCATGCTAATTTTTTTTTTCGACCTCTAATTAACATTTTATGTAAATTGCTTCATCCCGTTTTTCGGGATCCATTCGTAACTCCGTGTCACCGCGTTTTTACAGCAAACCGCTCGGCGTCAGCCTGTTGCTGATCGATTTCGGATTCAGTCCCACGCCCAAAAGGGGCCGCCGGATTGACGTGAGTGGGGCGGAATTTTTTAGAATATTTTTAGAGGTTTAAAAGGCGATGTCCCAGTCACCCGAACTAGCTTGGTACAGTTTTTTTCGACCTTGTTTTTTTTGACGCCATCTGAAAGAGCGTAGTCGAATTAGTATGGCTGCATATTTTTGAAAGTTTAAAATGTTGATTTTCGGGGTTTAAATGGCTGTTAAAGTTGCGTACCACAAAAAATTATCTCGGAAAATACTTTTCAGAAAAATCTGAAAATTTGTGACAATACTAATTCAAGGGTGCTGATCATTTCTCTAATACATTGCAACAACTGAAAATGGCTAAAACATGGTGAAATAGTGTACTCAAAAGGGTTTTTTGCGATTTGCAGGAGTAGGACAGCCGGCCGCCCGTTGAGCCTACCCTAGCAACTTGCGCGCGAAAATTCTGCATCGAATGGTGTATCGCTTATCGGGCGGCCACCTGTCCGCATATCTTAAGAATTGCGCTTTATGGGCGAAAAACGACGATTTTTGCGTGTTTTGGGGCGTCCGGGAGGCGAGATAGTGGGGGCGGGGCAGAGAGCCCCGACGAACAGAGAGCAGCCCTGGGGGAGCCGCTCGGATGCTGCAAGGGAGCAGCTACCTGGAGCACCCTCGCTGTCTCGACCCTCTGCGCCGCCCGCACTCTCTCGCCTTTCCAGTCCCAGATTCCACTCAAAAATCGTCGTTTTTCGCACATAAAACGCAATTTTTAAAATATGCGGACAGGTGGCCGCCCAATAAGCGATACACCATTCGATGCAGAATTTTCGCGCGCATCTTTCTACGGTAGGCTCAACGGGCGGCCGGCTGTCCTACTCCTGCAAATCGCAAAAAACCCTTTTGAGTACACTATTTCACCATGTTTTAGCCATTTTCAGTTGTTGCAATGTATTAGAGAAATGATCAGCACCCTTGAATTAGCATTGTCACAAATTTTCAGATTTTTCTGAAAAGTATTTTCCGAGATAATTTTTTGTGGTACGCAACTTTAACAGCCATTTAAACCCCGAAAATCAACATTTTAAACTTTCAAAAATATGCAGCCCTACTAATTCGACTACGCTCTTTCAGATGGCGTCAAAAAAACAAGGTCGAAAAAAACTGTACCAAGCTAGTAGCGGGGCCGTTCGGGTGACTCGGAAACCGCCTTTTAACTGCGATTTGAGGTGTCATGGAATTTTTTTCAGCCCGACTTTCACTCTTTCTCTCTCTCTCTCTCTCTCTCTCTCTGCCTCTCACTCTCTCGGCCGGGTTGAAGGGATTGTCGGATTAGCAGCCCAGCCCAGATAATCCCGCTCAAATGGCTTTTTCCATCTTCCCAATTTCTCCCTCCCGTTTTCTCGTAAACACCCGGATTTGAAGGTGTCGCGCGGATTTAAGCGGAATTCCGCAAGGAATCTCTGCTAGCCTGCCCTTGCCCAAAGCACCCCCTGCTAGCGGTCTGACTGCTGCTCCGGGGCCTTAAAAAGGCCGATTTTTTTTCCTTGTTTCGCACTGTTGATGCTGTTATTTTGACAAAAGCTAGCACCGCTAAACCTAAGCTAAGCCTAGGCATAAGCCTAAGCCAACGCACAAGCCCAAGCCTAAGACTAAGCCTAAGTCTAAGCCCAAGCCTAGGCCTAAGCAAGCCAGCACTTAGCCTAAGCCAGGACAAAGCCTCAGCCTAAGCCCAAGTCTAAGCCTAAGCCCAAGCCTAAGCCTAAGCCTAAGCCTAAGCCTAAGCCTAAGCCTAAGCCTAAGCCTAAGCCTAAGCCTAACCCTAAGCCTAAGCCTAAGCCTAACCCTAAGCCTAAGCCTAAGCCTAAGCCTAACCCTAAGCCTAAGCCTAAGCCTAAGCCTAAGCCTAAGCCTAAGCCTAACCCTAAGCCCAAGCCCAAACCTAATCCAAGCCTTTGGCGCCCAAAAATCATTTTCCACTCTTGCAGTCGACCCCAGGTTTCATCAACTTTCCTTCTTCCTCCTCCCATTTCGGCCCGTAATCCACTTCCGCCCCCTCCCTTTGCACCCGGTATCCCAGGGCTCTGAAAGCTGGGGCTTCATCCTGCAAAAGCACCCTATGTAGTCTAAAAACCACATAAAGAAAAGCCAAAAGCATAAATAGACTAATTTAAATTTACTTTAAACTAAAATTTACTAACTTGGGCTTTATTCTGGCTTTTTAGATTTATCATAGCTTTAAAAAATTATCTAGCTTTTTGTAGATTTTCTAAAATTTTCCGAAGCCGAATCTGCGTAAAACGACCTTTTTGATGCTAGACTAGGGATTTGAGGAGCTACGGGGAGTTTTTGGGATCCCATGGCCTCCCCCACCCGCACACCGTTTGGTGTATTGGTAGTGGGGCGGCCCGGACAGGCCACGCGACCCGGGTTCGACCCCCGCCCGCAGCACCCGGCCCGGGATTAGAAAGTTCTGCTGTTCACGTACCGATTGCCAGTGCGGAAATGAACCCGGAATGAGGCCTTTTTTGTACAAAAATTTTTATGCTAAACTTTTAGGGGGCTTTTTGCTTCCAAAAATGTGAAAAGAATTAAAAAATCCTTAATTTTAAACACTGGGGGAATATATAGCATTTTAAGACTGCCAATGGATAGCCCTAGGCCCCAGCTATCGTCCCTTATTTTTATTAGCATTATTTTGACCTGAAATTCCATAATTTTGTATATTTTGGATGCTCTTTCGAGTGACGTCGAAAAATCCCGATATTCTCGAACATTTTTTTTAGAATTTTGTAAGTGCCATTTGGAGCAAGACGTATTTGTCGACACCCAGTCCCCGAAAGGGTCGATTCTGGCGCTTTCTCGTCCCTTTAAGACGGTTTAGTACGGACTATACTCCGCACAGCCGGCACTGCCCAAGAAATACCCAGTTTAATTGCGCAATTTAATGGATTCCCGGCACGCGGGTCGGGTTCCGGTGTCTAGCGTGAGTTCGGGGCGCGCTCGGGCTCCAGTTCGCTTCTATGGACGGCTTGTTTTTGTCAGCTTCCGTTTTCTATCGTGCTCTGGGGCTCGTGAAGCGCGTTTTAGAATTCTGCAAAAAAAACCAGGCTGTGGAGCAATCAATTAGATGGGTCGCCATCTCTCTCTCTCTCTCTGTCTCTCTCTGTCTCTCTGTCGCTCTCTCACTATTTTCGACGACTAAAATTTGCTGGACAAAGTTCTGAAACGACTTCGCCCAACCCGGATTTCAAGAAATTCCTGAAGAATACCTGCTAGACCCCCAGGGCCGAACTCCTAAGGAATCTCTGCTAGCTCGCCTTTTTCCAAAGAATCACCGCTAGCTTGCCCAGCGTCCTAAGAATCTCTGCTAGCATGCCACCAGCGATTCTCGGCGATGACGCAGGGTAATTAGGGTCTCTCTCTATCTCGCTCTCTCCCCCTCTCTCTCTCCTATCTCTCTCTCTCCCTCTCGCCAATCTCTGATCATTCAGCCAGAGATGCGACTTCTCCCTCCACTTTTTGTTGTCGACTCACACATCGAGCCCCTGCTGAATATCATTAATCTCGTCTCAACAACCACCTCGCTATTTCGGGCAACTCCCGCTTTACAGCTAGCAGAGATTCTTTAGGAAAGGGCAGGCTAGCAGAGATTCTTAGAGAATCTCAAAAATTTTTATACCAACAAAACAAGCCCAAAATAAGCTGCTTGCTGAACGATCGCATCCCATGATACGGATTATGGCCTGGGCGCGCCCTTTTCTAGCGGTTCACGGCTTCCCTAATAAGTGTTTCTTGACGCAAAAGCCATGGGACCACTGGATTATCTCTCTCCCTCTCTCTCTCTCTCTCTCTCTCTCTCTCTCTCTCTCTCTCTCTCTGCCACCTCGATATTATTCGATTACCCCGGTGAGTGAGTACGGCCCACTCCTGTTTACACCACCGGCGAATAGCCACTACAAAGCGCCTGTTCCCAAATAACCTCTGCTAGCCTGCCCTCTCCTAGCTTAGATTCTCGAATGATCTCAGCTGGTTTGCCGGTTAGCCGGTTAGCTTTCACCAGGTTTCCGCAAGAATCTGTGCTAGTTTGCCCTTTCCTAAAGAATCTCTGCTAGCCTGTCCTTTCCATCTTCCAAGTCCAGCATTAATTATTTCTAGAGTCCACTAGATTTTTCGATGACTAATTGTGCCCGCCGCGCGGGCACAATTTGCCGGGATAATTTGGTGGCGGAAAATCCGCCACAGATCCGCCCTTTTTTGAGGGGCGAACAAATCCGAGGGGCAAAGCCCCTACAGCCAGATTGCCGATTCTCTATGACAACCAGAAAGTGGAGGCTCCTGGGCTGAGGGCACATTTTCAAGGAGGGTTTATCAGCTCTACAATTTCCTCTCTGCTAGTCTGCCCTTTCCTAACGAATCTCTGCCAGCCTGCCCTTTCCAAAAGAATCGGGCTCGGCAGCTAAAACCTTTTTAAAGGGAGCGTGCCGGCAGTTTTTGAAGGGGGTTTTCAAGTTTTTCTGTCAATGGTAGGCTGGCAGATTTCCTTGAGAATTTTCCTGCCTTTCTGGTCCCTTTAAACTCCAATGTTTGGTCCTCGATTACGTGTGTGTTTTGAGTAGCCCAGATTTCCCAAGGGGCGATGGATGACCAATCGAATTTCCGCTTCTCCTTTTTCCTGGGGAATTTGGGCAAGGGTTTCCCACCGATTTTGGGTAGCCTGGGGCTGTTTATCTCGAAAAATTAGGGAAAGCTTGCAGAGATTTTTTTAATGAAAGGCAGGCTAGCAGAGATTCTTCCGGACACTCCCTCGACTCCGTGCCCATCCGACCGGTGTTCTAAAAATCACCCTAGCTACCGTATGCCCCAGATTCTCCTCGCCCGGCTCCTGGTTGCCGGATAATCCGGATTTCGTGCCGGTCGAGAAGGGCTTTCGCTACGGGACCCACATCAAAACCGGAGCCCCCATCTAATAAGGCCGGCCGGCTATTTCCGGGCCGCTACTCTCCAATTATATTCGTCTCGCCGGGGGTAGGGGGACACCTTGCAGCCCGAGCTCACTCAAAAATAGCTGTTGATCCCCGGGCTGGAGGAAAACATGGCGTCATTTTAAAGGGGGTGGGAAGATCCGTTCTCCAGGAATCTCTGCTAGCCTGCCCTTTCTTAAAGAATTCCTGCTTTCTTTCCCTTTCCGAAAGAATTTCTGCTAGCATCTCGCTTTTGACCCCCTCTCTTCCGGCAAACTCCAAACTACAACGCCAATTTTTCAGCGAATCCCGGCCACAGCGGATGTCTGATAGGATGGACCCATCTGAAGTCGCCTCATTCCTCTCCAACCTGACCCCCGAGGAGCAGGCCGTCATCCGGCCGGTCTTGGAGCGCGACCTCGAGTTTCAGCGCCGCGAGAAGCAGCGATTACGGTAAGGGCAATGGTGTTTGTTAGCTGGTCGAGGTTCGAAATTCCCGAATTCTTCGTGCTAGTTTGCCTAAGGGTTGCGGTCTGGTAAATCGCCTTCGCTAGCATCCTCAAAGATCCCTGCTAGCATGCCGGGGGCCTTAAGGAACTCTGTTAGTTTGCCCTCTGCGAGCCTATGTTCCTAAAGAATCTCTGCTAGCATGCCGTTTCCTCAAGAATCTTTGCTAGTCTGCCCTTTTCCTAAAGAATCTCTGCTAGCCTGCCCTTTCAATAAATTTATTTCCAGCGTGCTGAAGACGTCGGTCGACGTCTCGAAGACGGACGCCCTGGTCCGGATGAATTCGTCGATGCGTGACAGCGTTTCTTCCGACAGCGTCCACTCGCCAGCTTCGGCTAACAGGTTCGCTTGTTTGAGTCAATGGGGGCAGGTTAGCAGAGATCCTTGAGGAAATAAGGGCAAGCTTGCCCGAACGTCACGAAATCGTTGTACGTCTTCCCAAACCACGATTTCAGCTACTCGTTCAGCCCGTGCCCCTCCTCCACCAATTCTGCCGCCACCTCCCCAGGAGTACGCGCCTGTACGCAGTGCAACACGAAACTCGGGTTCCTCTTCCACTCCGGGACCAAGTGCAAGAAGGTTGGTGAGAGAGAGAGAGAGAGAGATATCCGCGATTTTCTAGTGCGCCCAGCTGATCTGCGACAACTGCCGCATCTACACGAGCAAAGAGCGCAAATTCTGGACGTGCCCAGTGTGCTTCAAGGAGAGGTACGGTGAAATGCGGGAGCGGAAACGTATTCATGCAACTTTTAGGGAATTCCTGGCCGCGTCTGGGGAATGGGTGAACGGGGAGAAAGACGCTGCACAGGTGAGAGAAAGAGAGAGAGAGGGTGAGAGGGAGAAAGCGAAAGAGAGTGAGAGCGTGGGAGAGAGAGAAAGAGAGTGAGATAAACAGACATTTCCAGACCTCAGAACTACTCCTCTCGCAGCTCTCCCGGCTGGCCATGGACAAGCGCAACGAGCGAAGGACGAGCGATGCCTCCCAGTTTTCTCGTGCGTTCAGATATTTTTAGTGATTTAAAAACCCATTAAAGACAAAATTCAACGTATATTCATAGACTTTTAAAGAACCGGAAACCCAAAAATCTATAGATCCCCTTGTTAGGCCAACGCGCACCTCCGATGCGCGCCCGAAACCTGACGCTGCCGGCGATCCACCACAACAATTTGCTGTTCGTGCCGACCGAAGATGGAGAGGTGAGAGAGAGAGAGAGAGAGAACGAGAGAAGCAAGAGAGAGAACAAGAGAAACGAGCTGATTTTCAGTGCGTAATCGTGACGGACAGCGGGTCGCCGCCAAAGCGCTCGGCTTCTCCTATCGCTGGCCCACGGCCGATCGGCAATCACAACCTGATTCCTGGGATCAGTCCTCGAGAGGTAGGGCAGGCTAGCAGAGATTCTTTAGGAAAGGGCAGGCTAGCAGAGATGATTTGGGACCTCAAAACCCTCTAAAATTTTTTTAGGTGATCGGCAGTCCTGCGCCGAAGGCTGCTCCGGTATTTCCGGTTTCCCCGGTCTGCTCTCAGCCTCCACCACTTCCGGAATGTATCCCTGAAGGTCAGAGAGAGAGAGAAAAAGAGAGCGAGAGAGAGAGAGAGAGAGAAAGAGTCTTACAACTATTTTCAGACGGTTTCCCCTCCAACGACCCGCTCCCACCGATGCCTACCCGTACGCGCCGGCAATCCTGGCACACGGCCGGCCGACTACGGTATGAGACGGCCCAGGGCGGGTCGCCCGCTTCCGCACGTCGCCAGTCCGTCCAGATCCCGAAGATCGTGTTTTGAAGGGGTTGGGAAGTGGGGAGATTCGGTTTTAAAGGGACTGATAAGGCAGAGGCGGCTCTCTCTATCTCTCGCTCTCTTTCTCTCTCGCTCTCTCTCTCTTGAATTTTTGACTTAATGGCCCCTTTAGAACCGAATTTCAACCTCGAATTCCCCCTAATAATCCCTGCTGGTTGCCCCCGGATCCAAATGTCCGTCCTGCATGGTATTTCCTTTCATGTCTTTTTGGTTTTTTTGCCCCTGTAAATTCAAATATCTATCCCCTGGACCACCTATCGTATCCTACCGTACCCTACCGTACCCTCAACACCCCAAAAGACACCCATTTAATAACGCCCTTCATGCACATATCCTCGCGGCTACTGTATATTTGCAAAAGCGCGGGCTACGGTATTTTGGGATTACGGTAGAAACGCTACAAACTACGACTTGATCCGCTATTACCGTACCCCACTACTGTAACACTCGTTCATTTTTCATTTTTTTTTGGTTTTTCGGAATAAAAGTTTGGCCGCTTTTTTGGGGTTTTCGGTTGCTTGGGGGGCTTCAAGGGATTGGCAAGGCGAAGCAAAGCGTTGGAAATTTGCATATCTCTTTAAAGGGACCAGCGCAATAAGCTGCGCAACGCTACGCTACGCAACACTACGTTAGGCTACGCTACGTTACGCTACGCATCGTAACGCAACGGAACGCTACGTTACGCTACGGAACGTGACGCGAAACGACGCGGCGCTACGCTACGCTACGTTACGCATCGTAATGCGACGCGCAGCAACGCGACGCAACGCTACCCTACGCAACGCAACGTAACAAAAGGCCCTCATAATCCATAGCCAAAAACGGGATATTTTCGGTTGAGCTTTGCCTTGCCAATCCCTTTAAACGCGGCGGCTGCAAAATGGGCAAAATTTGCACCACACAGCCAGCAGATCTCTACGCCGATTGATGAGGAATGTGAAGAGCTCGGGACAACACCACCAGGAAATCTGCCAGGTGAGCTAAGGAGCGAGAGAGAGGGAGCGTGAGAGAGTGAGAGAAAGAGAGCGAGATAGCGCAAAACTCGAGATGATTTTTGAAATTGTCCTTACCTTTTGACGCCTCCAGTGTTGAATATTCCGAATATTCATCACGCCCTCCTTGGACTCCAAACGGAAAATTGAAAAATAGTCACGTCATTTCTATCTCCCTCCCCTCTCTCTCCTTCTCTCTCTCTCTCCCTCTCTCTCTCTCTCTCTCTCTCTCTCTCTCTCGTAATTTCTGGTGCTTACTGGCTGCGATTTCAAAGTTCCGGAATTTTCTCGAATTCAGATGCCTTATCTTTGCCCCATTTTCAAAAAAAATCCACTTTTTTCAGTTACCGTACCCAGCTTCCTATTTTTCATCATATTTCCCTAAAAATTAGAGATCCCTGAATTTCTTCGGAATTTTTTTGGTGTATTTTGGGGCGCCTCCTTGATATTTAGACGCGATTTCCGGCCCAAATCCGCTGGCTAATCGGGTATTTTGGTGGACCGCTGGTTGGGTATCGCCGCGAGATCGAAAGCCCCCGGCATACGGTCACTATTTGGCTTCTTGAAATCTGTAGCTTTCAATGGAGCGGCTCTTCAAACATTCAGGCTTCGTTTAGGCTTAGGTTTGGGCTTGGGTCTGAGCTTAGGCTTAGGTCAAGGCTTAAGTTTAGGCTTAGGCATGGGCTTAGGCTTAGCAGTAGGCTTAGATTTCGTCTTAGCTTCTTCTTAGGCTAATGCTAAGACATAGGCTTGGTCTTAGGCTCTGCTTAGGTCGCTTAAGTTTAGGCTTAGGTTAAGCTTGGCTCAGGCTTAGGCCAAGATGCTGCTTAAGCAGCAGCTTAGGCCTAGCGTTTGTTTGGGTCTAGGCTTAGGAGGCAAAATAGAAAAATTTTGAGCTTTCCCCCGCCCAAACCACAAAATTAATCAATTTTCCGGGGCGCTAAGATAAAGTTGTGCGGGTTGGCCGCCCGGAAAAACTAATAATTTACCAAGCCCAGCGGCCAGGCGCCCCCGAAAATTGCCCAGATTGTGGGCTGGATGCTTTTGGTTTCAAGTGTTTGGTTTCCCGACTCTTTGAAAGTTCGAGGCATAAGCCTAAGCCTAAGCCTAAGCCTAAGCCTAAGCCTAAGCCTAAGCTTAAGCCTAAGCCTAAGCCTAAGCCTAAGCCTACGCCTAAGCCTAAGCCTAAGCCTAAGCCTAAGCCTAAGCCTAAGCCTAAGCCTAAGCCTAAGCCTAAGCCTAAGCCTAAGCCTAAGCCTAAGCCTAAGCCTAAGCCTAAGCCTAAGCCTAAGCCTAAGCCTAAGCCTAAGCCTAAGCCTAAGCCTAAGCCTAAGCCTAAGCCTAAGCCTAAGCCTAAGCCTAAGCCTAAGCCTAAGCCTAAGCCTAAGCCTAAGCCTAAGCCTAAGCCTAAGCCTAAGCCTAAGCCTAATCCTAAGCCTAAGCCTAAACCTAAGCCTAAACCTAAGCCAAGCGCAAGCCTACGCACAGAATAAAGACAAACCCATGGATTTCCGCCCTTGCTGGCCCCTTTAATCGTTGTTTTTAGGCGTACAGGAAAATTCTGGCTTGTCTTCTTTTCGAGTCGTCCCATTCAACCCTCATCCCGATCTTTTGTCTCCGATCTGAAAAGTCCACTGGGCTACGCAATGCGCCTAGTGACGCCCAGCGGATTTGCGCGTCCAAACCCCCAAAATTTGCGTCTTTGAGGAGAAAAAGGCAACAAAACGGAAGCGTTTTTCGGGGCGTACAGCAGCGTAGTGCTACCCTCATCTAGAGGGTTATAAAATGCATCTCGGTTAAAATTGCCATTGCCATTTCTATGGATTCCGTGTTTTCAATGGACCTTGAATTTCACGTTTCAGTCCCTGCCTCGAGCCAGCAGCCGCCACCTCCCATCACAATGTCATTCGAGGTTGGTTTGAATCCCAAAGAATCTCTGCCAGCCTGCCCTTTCTTAAAGAATCTCTGCCAGCCTGCCCTTTCTTAAAGAATCTCTGCCAGCCTGCCCTTTCTTAAAGAATCTCTGCCAGCCTGCCCTTTCTTAAAGAATCTCTGCTAGCCTGCCCTTTCTTAAAGAATCTCTGCTAGCTTGCCCTTTCCTAAAGAATCTCTGTTAGCCAGCCTTTCAGAATATTTTCGCAACTCTATGACTAAGCCCCTGAAGCCAGTCAAAACATTTTAATTCAGATGTCCCAGAGAGAGAACGAGAGTGAGAGAGAGAGAGAGCGAGAGAGAGAGAGAGCGAAACCCTCTAATTCTTGGTATTTACCGCTTTGCCCCCATCGGCCATTTATAGACGCAATATCTGGCAAAAATAATCAGCCTCCTTCTCCTTCTCGAGCCTTCTTAAATTGGAGATTTTCTCGATGGCCGCAAATAAATAGACTTTGACTTGGGCTTGGACTTCGGCTTATGCTTAGGCTCAGCGTGCCGAGCTTTGATCCGGATTTGCAAAAAAAATTGATCCTTGACCTTCTCCTCCGAACTGCTTCTCCTGCTCCTCGCCCATTCCGGGGTGATTTATGCAAATAGCACGGCTACGTGCCCTCGGGCTATTTAGTTGAAGTGAGTTAGGGGCAGAGGCCAGGCTTTGGGCAGGGCCGTTGATCCTAATCCTAAGGAATCTCTGCTAGCCTGCCCTTTCCTAAAGAATCTCTGCTAGCCTGCCCCTTCCTAAAGAATCTCTGCTAGCTTGGCCTTTCCTAAAGAATCTCTGCTAGCCTGCCCTTTCCTAAGGAATCTTTACTAGCCTGCCCATCCGCTTGTGCATTCAAAAGTACACCCACTCTCAGGGTCCAAACTTGTTTGTCCGCTTAATCCCTCATCCCCCGCAAAGAACCGCTTAAACCAGGGTAAACAACATTGCCCCATGTCTTGGGGCCCACCTTAGGGCCCAAATAGGGTCCCAGTCGCCGCCGAAATTGAGGCCCAAAATTGGGGGATCCGTTGAGCGGCTGGCCCCCATTACTCGCGGGGCCCTTGCCCTGGAATCCGGTGACAGCTACGCGACATTCCTCTTGACGCGCCAAATGAGACCCTGGGCCAGTGATCTGCTACTACACCTCCGGGGAGGGCGACCGGACGAGCATGTTGGTTTTTGGAAGTTTTGGCAAAAGAGCTCTGATGGCTTGCATCCTCCTAAAGAAATTCTGCTAGTCTGCCCATCCCTAAGGAATGTCGGCTAGTCTGCCCCTTCCTAAAGAATCTCTGCTAGCTCGCCCCTGGCTGTCAGAGTTTTTTGAGGACACTCGGTCGGTACTATTCTATTAGCGGGGGGTGGGTAGAGGGGGGACGAAAATTTTCCCAGGTGCCGTGTACCCTATAAAAACGTACCCCCCCCCCGCTAAGAGAACAGAACCTCCGGGGCCTGCTAGCAGCAAGGTTTTTACAATTCAATCTGCAAACCCGGACAAATTATTGGGCCTATCTATTTCCAGGGCGAAAGAAAGAGAGAGAGAGAGAGAGAGAGAGAGAGAGAGCGAGACAACCTGGTACTCCATTTCCGCCCCTTGGGAGGTTGTGCTTTTTTGGAAATTGGGCTCGACGTGGGGGAGGGCAATCTCGAAATGGGCCCGGAATCGGCCACAAGGGGGATTTTCCGATTGCCAACCTCTCATTTCAGGGCATAAGCGCCCCCCGATTTCCCCGATTTTCAAGATGCCCTCGGGGCAGGCATCAATCTGCGATTTGGTGCCGCGATTTGCGATTTCCGATGCGTATCCGGGGGCCTAACCTTGACGTAAATCGGTCAGGAGGTGGATACGGTAGATTCGGGGAGTTCGTGGATTTTTCAAAGATCTCTGCTAGGCTGTCTTGCAATCCTAAGTCGTCTCTGCTAGCTTCCGTTCTCAAAGGATCTCTGCTAGCCTGCCCGACGTGGTTCCTCAATTTTCTTTGCTAGCCTGCCTTTCCGCTAATAATCCCTGCTAGGATGCCCTTCTAATCCTAAATTGTCTCTGCTAGCCTGCCTCTGCAATCCCCAATTTCTCTGCCCTTCTTCCCTAAATTCCTGTATTTGCCCTGCTGGCCTGCCCTTTGCTTTACAAAATGCCTTGCTGGCCTGCCTGTTCGTTCTCAAATAATCTCTGCTAGCCTGCCCCAGATAATTCCCCCGATTTCTCTGCCAGCCTGCTTTCAAATCTCCAGCTTTCTGTGCTAGCCGGGGCTTTCCAACCCAAATGATCTCTGCTAGCTTGCCTCCACTAATTTCCGGAAAGCCCACGGAAACTAGGCCGATTCATGGAAATCCCTACATGTCCTTTTTGTTTTCCCAGTTTTCAAACAACAGAGAGAAAGGGAGGAGAGAGAGAGAGAGAGAGAGAGAGAGAGAGAGATAGACAGGCGAGTAAAGTTTATGTTACCCTGGGGCCATTTTGGTGGGGGAGGGAACCCCTCATTCCCTGTCCCGAGTAGTCAGGCGAAATCCAGATTTTTGGAAATGACCCAATTTTAGGAATTGCACTCTTGGCAAAACACGCATTTTCCGGTTAGATTTCAGTGATTCGCCAGTCAAAAGCCCAGTTTCCCAAATAGTTTTTTTACCAAAAAGAAGCTTCATTTTATTAATGCCGTAAAAACGGTGACTAATAAATTCAGGGGACCAATTTTAGGGCCCGGTGGGCCCTAAAATGAAACGGCGGAAATTAGGGCAGGTCGGCTGTTGCTTTCTCTCTCTCTCTGTCTCTCTCGCTCTCTCTCTCTCTGTCGTGCCAATTTTGTGGGTCACTATCCCGCCCCACGAAATGGGCGGTCGGCTCATTTCTGCAGGAAATTGGAAACGTTTCCATTCCAATTTTTCTGGTCTTTCTGAGGTCACGAGGCGGAATTTGGGCTTTTGGGGCGCCTAAGGCGTCTCTGCTAGCCTGCCCTTTCCTAAAGAATCTCTGCTAGCCTGCCCTTTCCTAAAGAATCTCTGCTAGCCTGCCCTTTCCTAAAGAATCTCTGCTAGCCTGCCCTTTCCTAAAGAATCTCTGCTAGCCTGCCCTTTCCTAAAGAATCGCTGCTAGCCTGCCCCTTTCCTAAAGAATCTCTGCTAGCTTGCCTTTTCCTAAGTTCTCTTGCCATTCAAGTCCCCTTAAGACCATGAAAATAGCACCCCTCATACATTAGGTCCTTAAGATTTATTTCCAAGCTTTGCCCCCGGTCTCCCAGCAGCCCCACCAATCCAAAAACCAAAAAAAAAAGATTTAAGCCCTTGCCCGCTGCAAGGCGCCGCTTGCCAAGGCCAAAATGGAAACTTTATGGCGGCTTTTCGGAGGGGGATGGCTTCAGATTTCGCCCAAGAATTCCCACGCCTCCCCCCGAAAGCCAGCCGAATCCGCCGGCTTATAAACTTTTATTTTCCCCGATTCGGGCTTCGAAATAACAAAGGAAACGCCAAAAATAGACTTGGAAAGTTTGGATGCCGTAATTTTCTCTACCAGTCTGCCCAAAATTCCTCAAATTTTTCTGCCAGCTTCCCCGAATTCCCAAATAATCCCCGCTAGTCTGCCCTAAATCCCTCAAATTTTTCTGCTAACCTGCCCTAAAATCCTCTAATTTTTCCTGCCGGCGTGACAGCAATTCCTCAAATTTTCTCTGCCAGCTTGCCCTGAATTCACAAATTTTCTCTGCTAGCCTGCCCTGAATTCTTCCTCAAAACTCTCTGCTGGCCCGCCCTCAATTCCCAAATAACCCCCGCTAGTCGGCCGGAAATCCCTCCAATTTTCTCTGCCAGTCCACACCTTAAATTCCCCGACTTTCGCTGCCAGCTTACAGCCTCAATTTTCTCTGCCAGGTTGCCCTCGAATTCCCAAATGATCCTTGCTAGCCTGTTCTCCGTTCGCAAATAAACTACGCTAGCCTGCCGTCAATTTCTCAAATTTTCTCTGCTAGCCTACCCCTCTCATCCCAGATTTTCTGGCCGCCCGCCAACGAGACGCGGCACGCGCCAGAAAAAACAATCTAAGGGGCCAACCCAGCTCTTCGGGTTGGCCCCTCTCGGAGGACCCATTTGGGGCCCAGTGTCCCATGGGATTCATTTCTTCGCAGGTTCCCCCTTCCCTAGGAGAAAAAGTTGCGTTCTCCCGACCCTATCTCACCCGAAAAAAAAACCTTCTGGACCCGGCCTATCCAATTTTTTTCTGGCTTTAAAAGCTTCCTGGGTCTGGGGCAGGCTAGCCAAGATCATTGGGGACGTCAGAATTCACTTCAATTTTTCAGCGCGACGAGCGCTTCTACAGCTCGGTGCTCGACCTCGGCGGCCGGATTCGCGACTGGATGCCGCTCTTTGCGAGGCGGGGCGTAAGTTATTTTGGTGTTTCTTTTCTAGGCGAAGATGCTAGCAGAGATCCTTTAGGAAATGGCAGGCAAGCAGAGATTCTTTAGGAATGTGTAAAACTTCGAAAATTCGTCGAAGCATCTCGATTTTTTTGCATTTTTGTCTATTTGTAAAGCTTTGGAAATAAAAAGCAGAACATTTGCTCCCTGAGAAAAAACTGGTCCCCCCCCGATAACGTAAAAGAACCTGTTTTCTCACCCCCTTGAAATTGCAGGATGACTGCCGTCCCTCGGCCTACGAGGAATACGTGCCCTATGCCCAGTTCCAACGTGAACGCCTCAGGTATGGCCGGGAAAGCTAGCAGAGATTCCTCAGGATCCAGATTAAATTCTGTATTTGCAGCCCAACTCCCCCGGTGGGACCCGCAATGAGCCACTCGAAGTCGGCGGTGGATGTGAGGAGGAAGCCATCTACACTGGATCCGGCGGATATCGCTAGAATGCATCATCAGCCGAGGAGAAGCAGCGCGCAGGTGAGAGAGAGCGAGAGAGAGAGAGAGAGAGAGAGAGAGAGAGCGAGAGAGAGAGAGAGGGCGAGGGAGAGATATACGGATTGAGAGAGTGAAAGAGAGAGAAAAGGAGAGCGAATGATCGTGAGAGACAAAGATTGAGATAGCGCGAGAGGGAGAGAGAGAGAGAGAGAGAGAGAGAGAGAGAGCGAGCGAGCGAGCTAGAAATATACAGATCGAGAGAGTGACCGAGAGAGAGAAAAGAGAGCGAATGATTGAGAGAGACAAAGATTGAGAGTGAGAGAGCGGGAGAGGGATAGAGAGAGAGAGTGAGAAAGATCTTAAGCCCGAATTTAGCCGCCCCCTACGCACGTACAGTCGGCTAGAGAAAGCAGGGCATCAACGGCATGCCATTCGGTATCCACTTCCGGCGGGAACCTATCGATCCCGCCGTCTTCGAGACGTTCATCGGTCGAGAGGGTGATCGACCGACAGAGAGCGCTGGTAAGGGCGGCAGGCTGGCAGAGATTCTTTAAGAAGTGGACAGCTAGCAGAGGTTCTTTAGGAAACGGCAGGCTAGCAGGTTTTCTTTAGAGAAGAAAAAAAACTCGAATTTCCAGGCCAACATGCCCCAATCTCATTCCCGCAGCCGGCTAAGCCCAAGCCCGCGCAGCTCCCGCCCTCCCAGTGCCGATCTGCAACAGTAAGCCGATCGTCCTGATGTCGTAATTCTCGATATTTCAGCTCGGCTACCGTATCCACCCGCTCCTGCAGTCCGGCAAGCCGTGACGATGGGCGATCGGTAAGTGGTGAAGTCTCTTAATTCACCGTCCGATCCCAGCCGGCCCCCTCCATCACCTGCTCCCTCGACATGGACGACTCGATCTCGATGCGCACCAGCGCCACCGATCTGTCCTTCCAGCGGAGCGCCTCGGAAGCGGTAGCACAGTTTTGTCACTAGTACCACTCCGGAATTTCAGAGCTTCTCCCCGATCCACATCCCCGTCCTTTCGTTGCCTCCGGATACTTGCGGAGAGGTGGGGGCTTTGTGTTTGATTGTTGTAAGCCTAAGCCTAAGCCGGAGCCGGAGCCTGAGCCTGAGCCTTAGCCTAAGCCTAACTCTAATACCGGCCCCCAATCCCGACCTATATAGTTGTGAAATATGCCCAAGCCTACTGGCCTAATTTAAGCCAATTCTCGCGACCTAACCAAAGCCAAGCCAAAACCTAGGTCTGAGCCCATTCCTTAGCCTGCCTAAGTTTAAGCCGAAGCCGTAGCCCAGCTTAGCCCTGAGTAACTTAAGCCTAAGCCTAAGCCTATCCTAAGCGTAAGCCCAAGCCATTCCAGATCCTACTCTCGCTACACTACAATACCCAAGCCTCCGCTCTCGACGTGACGATACACAAGGCGCGCGGCCTTCCGCATTTCGCAGGCCATAAGCCGAATCCGTATGTGAAGGTGGGTGCAACGGATCTCTGCTAGCCGGCCCTTTCCTCAAGAACCTTTGCTAGTCTGCCCTCAATTCCAGATCTCGCTCCTCTCCGAGAATGGGCACTCCGAGGTGGCCAAGCTGAAGACGGCCTGCAAGAAGGGGACGTCAGAGCCGGCGTTTTCCGAGACAAAACGCGTAGGTTTCAATTTTTCCTCAAGAATCTCTGCTAGCCTGCCCTTTCCTAAAGAATATCTGCTAGCCTGCCCTTTCCTAAAGAATATCTGCTAGCCTGCCCTTGCCGAAAGAATATCTGCTAGCCTGCCCTTGCCTAAAGAATCTCTGCTAGCCGGCCCTTTCCTAAAGAATCTCTGCTAGCCTGCCATTTCCAGTTCCCATCCATGACCCGTTCCGAGGTGGAGCATCACGTACTCCGCGTCTCCGTCTGGCACCGCGACTTCTTCTCCCACAAGGGCCTTCTCGGCGAGACCCGAATGGCGCTGCTCCACTTCCCCTGGCACGACGCCTCCAATCCGAACGGGCAATGGGTATCGTTGCGGGGGGTTACGGTAAGTTTCTAGCGACGTCTTAGAGGGCTTAGGCTTAGGCTTAGACTTTTGCTTGGGCTTAGGCTCAGGCTCAAGCCGCTTGGGTTTAAGCAGCTCAGGCTAGGCCTTGAAACCAGTACCAGCCACCCTAATGGCCCGAATTTAGGACGAAAATGAGCCGCTGGAGAAGCGGACGATAGTCGCCAAGGTGTCGCTGGCCTTCAAGATTGAGGATCGCGAGCGAAAAATTGGGACATTGGAGGTGGGTTAGCTGGCAGAGAGTCTTTTAGAAAGGGCAGGCTGGCAGAGATTTTTGGAAACTTGGCAGCTATTCTATTTCCAGGTGATCCTCAACAACCTCCACTTCGACCCAGCGCCCGGCAAACGCGCCCAGCACCATCTTGAGGGCAAGATCTATTTTGGCGAGGTGAGAGAGAAACAGAGAAAAAGAGAGAGCGATGGAAAGAAATATGATTTTTCAATTCCAGAAACGGGTCACAAAACGCCAGGTCCGGATACCTAGCGAGACAGCCAAGGGTCTCCCGATCGGGCATGCCATACGATTCTCGGAGCAGAATTTGAATGACTTGCATGTCAGGTGAGAGAGAGAGAGAGAGAGAGAGAGAGAGAGAGTGCGAGGCAGAGAGAGAAAGAGAGCGAGAGAGTGAGAGAGAGAGAGAGAGAGTTCGAGGCAGAGAGAGCAAGAGAGAGTGAGAGAGTGAGAGAGAGAAAACTAAGCTTACTAAGCTTTCAGAAGCCTGAAGCTCCAGCTCTGGGAAACTAGCGGTCTCGGCGCCCGGTCACTCGTCGGAAAAGCCGAGCTAAACCCGATTGATCATCGCAGAGGTAGGCAAGCTAGCAGAGATTCTTTAGGAAAGGGCAGGCTAGCAGAGATCATTTAAGATCCCGTTATCTATCCAAAACCCCTTCCAGGCCTCTCCGTCACGGAGTCGTGCAGCTGCGAGTTGTGCACCGGCTGGCATCGCATGATCTCCCACAGCACCCACGTCGCCAACGTCGACGTGCCGATGAGCGGCAAGGGCGGGAAAGGATCGGGATGAGGAGAGAGAGCGAGAGAGAGAGAGAGAGAGAGAGAGCGTGAGAAACGGCTACCAAACACTACACTTTACACTGGGTACCCCTTGTATTACATGGCCTCTGTACATTTGCGACAATAAAGTTCATTTTATTTTGCGGAAATTTGTGACAGTATGCACCGATTTTGAGCACCAGGTTCTTGCGTCCAGGGGAGCGCGGTTTAGATTTTCAGCTCGACCTCGGCGCCAGATTGGGTTCTCATGGGGCGGGGCGTCGTCTTGCGCACGTCAATCTTCTGGATGGGCTCTTCGCCGCCTGAAAAGAGCTTAAATGATCACTGCTAGCCTGCCCCTTCCTAAAGAATCTCTGCTAGCCTGCCACTTTCCTAAAGGATCTCTGCTCACCAAAACCTCCCCGCGGTGCCTCTGTCGGGCTGTCGATGTGCATCTTGAAGGCCTTTTCGACGTCCTCGCGAGAAGGGCTTCTGAAGAACAAAATTGGTAAAATTGTGGGTTTAAAGGAACTGAGAAGGTACCAAGTTGCCTTACCTTTGCATCGACCTGGTCTGTCCATCGCCGGACCTACTGAAAAACGTGATTTTAGGGATAGAGAGAGAGAGAGAGAGAGAGAGAGAGCGAGAGAGAGAGAGAGAAAGAGAGAGAACAAAGGATATAAATATGTAGAGCTAGAGAGAGAAGGAGAGCAAGAAAGAAAGGAAGAGAGAGCGCCAAAGAGAGAAACTTACTCCTTGAAGTTGAACCCGCTGCTGGCGTCGCTATCGCGAGTTCCCCAATTCGCGCTGGAAAACGTCGATTTAATGATAAAACATAACCATTAGCTTAAATATAAATTTTATTTAGAGCAGCATGAGATATATGATATTAAAAATTTCTCATTTCCTTCATCGACGTAACTTTTTTCAACAAATTCAACTCACCCCTGTCCTCCAGTGTTGTCATTGTTATTATTATTATTATTATTGCCGTTGCCATTCCAATTTCTAAAAAAATATAATTCTGGCTTTTTGAGATAATTTATACCCAGAATTCCCTCCATTGTTGTTGTCATTATTGTTGTTGTTCCAGTTGGCTCTAAAAAAAATTAAAATAAGCGACAAAAAACGTATACAAACCCGCCCGGGCCGTTGTTGTTGTTGTTCCAGTTGTGGCCTCTAAAAATATATGTAAGAAAGCGAGAGAAAGAGAGAGAGCGAGTGAGAGAGAGTGAGAGAGAGAGAAAGAAAGAGAAAGATAACGTACGCCATATGCGAATACGCGCCCACGTTACACCGATCCGTGGAGCAGCAGCAGAAGTGGACCGGAATGCCTTGGAAATTCATCCCGATGCACGAGTCTTGTGCGAGCTGAAATTCCTCAATGATCTCTGCCAGCCTGTCCTTTCCTAAAGAATCTCTGCTAGCTTCCTTCGCGACTTTGTCTTCATTTTTAAAGTGACACCAACATACCATACAGCGCCACCGCGAGCACCCAGCCTTCATCAAGTCGACGAACACGGCCACCTGGGCCGACATATTGTAGCAGAACGCCCCCGAGCCGCAGTCCTCCGTCGTCTCGCCCGTCGAGCCGCCGTTTAGGATTTTATGTCCCTAAAACGGTTTTTTTCTGGATAAACCGATCAAAAGTACATTATAGCACGTCAGCGCCGCAGCGGTGGCTAAAAATAGCGTAGCGAGGAGAAGGCGTAGCATCTGAAAATGGGCAGCTGAAGATCGGTAATTTGGGCTTAGGGTATGGAGGATAATAACGTCATAAATATGCATCAAGAGGGCCAGAAAGCAGGAGTGAAACGCGGAAAAAAAGACAAATATAGGTTAGCAGACTAGCATGCTAGCAAAGGCGGTTTGGGATGGAAGGCAAACTAGCAGAGATTCTTTAGGAAAGGGCAGGCTAGCAGAGATTCTTTAGGAAAGGGCAGGCTAGCAGAGATTCTTTAGGAAAGGACAGGCTAGCAGAAATTCTTGAGGAAAGGGCGGGCTAGCAGAGATTCTTTAGAAAAGGGCAGGCTAAAAGAGATTCTTTAGAAAAGGTCAGGCTAAAAGAGATTCTTTAGGAAAGGGCAAGCTAGCAGAGTGTCTTTAGGAAAGCGCAGGCTAGCAGAGATTCTTTGGGAAAGGGCAAGCCAGCAGAGAGTCTTTAGGAAAGCGCAGGCTAGCAGAGATTCTTTGGGAAAGGGCAAGCTAGCAGAGATTCTTTAGGAAAGGGCAGGCTAGCAGAGATTCTTTAGGAAATGGCCTTTGCACTTCAAAGGCCCAAAACAAGAAACTAGATCCTGTTTTCATGGCCCGGGGCCCTCAAGGGAAAATCGAATCGAGCTGGGCAGCTGTTCGATCTGGTGTATTTATCAAAGGGGTCGTAGACGAGAGGGAGAGAGAGCGAGAGAGAGAGAGAGAGAGAGAGAGAGAGAGAGAGTACGCGAAAACACCATCAACGAGGCCCAGACTCCACTGGGAGGGCCAATTAACACCTGGTGAATCATCGCGCTGAACCGGTTTTTCATAAGCTATTTTCCGGGGGCCCTTGTGATGACGAAAAATCGAGGCCGGCCAGCAGAGATCAATTGCGGAAATTTAAGCCTTGACAGTAATAATAATAATTTATTTATTAAGTGCAAAGGTGAGATCAGAATTCGGGCATCTGGCGCTGGTCGTCAACGAGCCGCTGGTAGGCGTTTTGGACGATAAAATCGACATTTTTGCGGGCCATCGGCCGCTGCTCGGGCTCGCGCTCAACGGCTGGCAGTCTGAAAGGATCTCGACGTGAAAAAGAGACTTTTAAAGGGACTGGCAAGGCAGAAATCAGCCAAGGTATCGAAACCCACGTGATGACGCTGGCCAGATTGCGGACGAGCTCGGAGTTTAGGCTGGCGGGGGAAGGGAGCGGTTTGAAAGGTGACTCCTGGAAGGGTGGATTCTCAAATTATCCCTGCTAGCCTGCCCTTTCTTAAAGAATCTCTGCTAGCTTACCAAGCTCCGTTACAGTACTCCAAACTACCGTACCTGTCGAGAGACTATCGGCGTGATCGGACTCATCCCGACCCGCGTCTGTGCCCCGAGGGCATTCGTTGCAAGACCCAGGCCACCTAGTCGGTCTCCAAAAAGTCGCCTCGCCGTTGCCAACGCCCTCTCGGCCTCCACCCCAGATAAGTCGTCGATGCCGAAGCGCTGAAATGGGCCGTAAGCCTTGAAAAAATTGCTGCCCCACCTTGGCCAACTGCTTCAACTGGTCCCGCATGGCTGGCGTGGCGCCGATTTGGCGGAGGTAATCTGGAATGGAGGTTAAGCTTAAGCCTAAGCCTATGCCTAAGCCTAAGCCTACGCCTAAGCCTAAGCTAAGCCTTGGCCTAAGCCTAAGCCTAAGCTAAGCCTAATCCTAAGCCTAAGCTAAGCCTTAGCCTAAGCCTAAGCCTAAGCCTAAGCCTAAGCTAAGCCTAAGCCTAAGCCTAAGCTAAGCCTAAGCTAAGCCTAAGCCTAAGCCTAAGCCTAAGCCTAAGCCTAAGCCTAAGCCTATGTCTAAGCCTAAGCACAAACAAGAGGCTAAGCATCAGCCTAAGCCCAAGTTTGAGCCCAAGCCTAAGCCCAAGCCTACCGACTTTACCTGCAATCTGCGGACTGGGCTGCGATTCTTCGTCCCTCACCTCGGCGACGCGAATCGTGGGATGAGTGCGTTTCTGGAGGTTAAAGGAGCTTGGAAAAGAAATTCTCTATCCGTTTCTCCCTCCCTCTCTCTCTCACTCTCTCTCTCTATATCTCTCTCTCTCTCTCTCCCTTCTCTCTCACTCTCACTCTTTCTCTCTCTATCTCGCCCTCTCTCAGTCTCTCGCTCTCAACGTTTTGACATACATTTAAAGAGACAAGCTGAGCTCAAAGAAACAAACAAACAAACAGAGATTCAGACAAAGCCACCCCACCGGAAACACCAGAATTTGCTGCTGATCCGAATCCGTACGGCCGTCAAAAGCTCTCGGTCGGCTCAGTTGGACCGGCTCGGCAGCAGCGGCCCGGTTTACTGTAATTCCCCCCGCTTTACCCCTACACTGCCCAATTCCAACCTGACTGTCTTGGGTCTCGCAACGGCTGGGGTGACGGTGTCATGAAGATGGGCATGGCAGGGGTTGGCAGCTGCAATTGGTTCGCTAAAGGGGCTGTGACAGGTACCGCAAAAGCCGGGCTGTTCATGTTGACAATGCTTGGCGAGATGGGGAGGGAGGCGAACTGAAATATGGGTTTTAAAGGGCTCTGGACTCTTAGCGGAGGGAACCACTTTTTGTTTTTTTCACTTTATGATCGTGTTTTATGTATTTTTATCGTGTTTTAGTAGTTTTTATTTGCTAGAAGGTGTAAAAATTCTAAATGTGGCATTTTTGGTCTTTTCTTATACTTTTTGACCAAAAAGCCAAAATTTTTATTATTTTTTACCAGCGCCCAAAACCCGCTTCGCGGGCCTTGGGCGCTGGAATTCGGCCTTTGCATAAGAAATTTGACTTTCCGATAGCTCGGGTCCTTCGGACCCCCTCCCCCCGGCCGACCACACGCGCGAGTGCAACTGGCAAGAATGAGGAAATTTGTATTTTCTCGCATTATGCAAATTAGCCCTCAGGGACCCCAAAAATGAATAAAACCGGCTTTAACTTTGTAAACTTATATTTTATCGAAATTCTGAGAACGCCATCGAAAAGAGGAGGGTCGATTCCCCGAAGTGACGGAGAATTAGGGCATTTTGGACACGGGAAGGCCCTCAAATCGGGCCTCGAAACTGACCTCCGCACACACACACAGACAAAGATACGCGACCAAATTATATAAGGTAGGATAGTTTTTATAGCTAAAATTATGCAAAATGTTATAAAGCTTTGTTATAGGGCTGTAGAGAATCGCAGGGAAAAATTTGCTTCCCCCACCCGAAAAATGCCCCCACAAAGAGTGCAGAACCGTTTAAAGGTACTTGGAAGGCAAAAAGTTTGGGAAGGGGCAGGCTAGCAGAAATTCTCTGGGAAAGGGCAGGCTAGCGGAGACCACTTAGGAAAAGCTAGCTTGCCTGCGGTATGGCTGGTGGGAGCCCTCCAAAAGGTGGGTTGAACGCCGCTGGTGGAGGTGTCTAAAGGAGCGTGATGGTGGGAGAAAGCGAGAGAAAGAGAGAAAGAGAGAGAGAGAGAGAGAGAGAGAGAGAGAGAGAGAGAGAGAGCTAGACTCATCCTACCGGTGGCAGCGGGGGCAGCTCGTCCAGCTGCTGCAGGGCCGTCAACCGTTGTATCGTCTCGGAGCGCATCGGACGAATGGCGGGGGCGCTTTCTTCTGGAAATTGAATGCTCGCTCTTTCTCTCTCTCCCTCTCTCTCTCTCTCTCGCTCTCTCACTCACCGCAACCCAGCTCTTTTCCGCCAGCGTCGACAAGTCGCGTATTCGTGACGGCCAGCCGACCGCTTGGCGAAGTTTTGACGCGGATGAGGACGCGGACCGGAAGTGGGGTCACGCTGGAGGAAAAATGAGCTTAGGCTTAGCTTAAACTTGCCGTGCTGGCGTTTAATAACTTACCGTAACGGGATGCGCACCGAATTCCATCCAGGACCCGCGAATTTACCGTCCTGGACCCAGATCAGCTCCTCGTCGAGCCCCGTCGTCGTCAGGATCGAGATTTGCGAGGATTCGCTAGAAAACGCGATTTTGAAGGCGTAAGCTATTTGGGCTAAAACTAAAAAAATTCACCTCGACAAAATGTGGATCTGGAGATGACCATTCTGAGGAATGAGGATGGAGGGGGAGGAAAGGGTAGCCACACGCTTGCCCTCGATTACGGCTCGGCCCCGGCCGGTTGTCCAATAGCCGGAAGAACTCCTGAAAATTGGGCAGGCTAGCAGAGATTCTTTAGGAAAGGGCAGGCTAGCCGAGTTTCCTTAGGAAAGGGCAGGCTAGCAGAGATTCTTTAGGAAAGGGCAGGCTAGCAGAGATTCTTTAGGAAAGGGCAGGCTAGCAGAGATCGATTGTGAAGGAAGGCAAGCTAGCAGAGATCATTTTCGAGACTTACCAGTCACAAAACGACCCCTCGAATTCGCACGCCAGTGCCGGGCAGCTCTCCTCCTGACTTCGTCGATTTGCTAGGTATAAGTTTTAAGGATCAAGCAATTCTGGCCTTATTGGAAAAGTTGCCATCTCCCCCCAATAATGCCAAAGAACCATAATTTTAGGTCTTAAAGCACCCACCAGGGGCCCTCCGTACAAAGTCCTCTGAGTGACGATCTTTTCTAAAAGTTGATCGTTGGTTTCTCTCTCTCCCACTCTCTCTCTCTCTTTCTCTCTTTCTCTCTCTTTCTCTCGCTTTCTCTCTCTCTCTCTCTCTCTCTCTCTCTCTCTCCCTCCCACCTATCAAGGCTGAAGGCCAGCTTTGGATGTAACGCGTCTCTGACCACCCGATCGAAGCGTATATCATCGAGGGCCACCACGTCGAACGAATTCTGGATGCCGGCAACTTGGAAGACGATCTGGAGCTCAGGATTTGTCATTGTTTACTACCGGATCGGCTCACCCTCCCTGCGCCTTCTCCTGGAGGTACCACGACCGTCCGCGGATTCCATTGGAGCAGTCCAACGCCGATTACTGTAGGAAAATTTGGGATCGATCTCTTTCTCTCCCTCTCTCACTCTCGCTCTCCCTCTATCTCTCTCCCTCTCTCACCTGAATCGATACATCGTGACGTCCCTTCTTCCGAATCGAGGATAATCTGGAAGCAGTGCATGCGAAGACTAAGCCTAAGCCTAAACCCGAGCCTAATTCTGAGCCTGAGCCTGAGCTTAATCATAACCTAAGCCTAAGCGAAGCCTAAGCCTAAGCCCAAGCCAACTCACATTGATCTTTGTCGAGTGCGTACTCTTCGCGAACAGAAAACGAATCCTCCTCGGCCGGCCGTCAGTAGATGACCAACCACTCCCCGTCACATTTCCCTGACTGACACCACCGAAGCGCCCTTGTGCTGCCACGAATCGGGAATCTAGAGAAAGCAAGGTTGAAGCTAAGCCCAAGCTTCTTGTTGCTTGGCGTAGCCGGGGAGCACGAACTCTGCTTTAAAAACCGCTTACTTCGAAAGAGCTGCGCGGGCGGTCCGTTGAAGACGTTCGGGATGTAAATACGGTCCGTGACGAACCAGGGGTCATCGACGACAAAAGGACAGGGGTGGCGGTCGAAATCGCAGAGATCCTGGCCCGAAGCTAGGGGGATCAGGAGGATGAGGATGAGGATCATCGCATACTGGAGAAAGGAGGGTTAGAGAGAGAGAGCGAGGGAGAGAGTGAGCGAGAGCGAGAGAGGGCGAGAGAGACAGACAGAAAGAGAGTCAGGGAGAGATAGAGGCAGAGAGAGAAAGAGAGAGAATGTTAGCGAGAGAGAGAGGGAGACCAAACCTAAAGCTCCAATCTCTTTGTTATACTTTAAAAAGCACCCTAGGTGTAATATTTTCCCTCATAAACCCGAAAAAATGACGAGCATGCCAAAGTAGGCCTGCGGCGCCGGAGGGAGCCTATACAGAGGAGAGCCATTGTGGGGGATGCGTATTGGCGGGGATGAGCTGACCTGACTGGGCATATCCAGTCCTTCAGCCTACTCGAGTGCCTATTTTGGGGCTCTGCTTCTCTCTCTCTCTCTCTCTCTCTCTCTCTCTCTCTCTCTCGCTCTCTCTCTCCCTCTCTCGCATTCTATCGCCGAGGGGGAAAGCGGACATGCCAATTCAAGCCAGCGAAAGTCGGCCTAAAAGTCTGGCTTCCAGTATAGAGAGGGAATTCTTGTGGAAAGGAGTCGAATGGAAATTATGGCAGGCTAGCAGAGATTCTTTAGGAAAGGGCAGGCTAGCAGAGATTCTTTAGGAAGGGGCAGGCTAGCAGAGATTCTTTAGGAAAGGGCAGGCTAGCAGAGATTCTTTAGGAAAGGGCAGGCTAGCAGAGATTCTTTAGGAAAGGGAGCAGCGGCCTAATTTGCATACCAAATCTCGAATATGGTATCGTAAGCCTAAAAATATACGTATTCCCGCAATCATGATGTGGGTGCTGTGGCTTCTCCTTTTCTTCCTTTGCGCCCTGCTGTTTTGCATGTGCGCCGTGTCGGCCGGCGTCTCTCTCTACCGCTGCTATATGTGGGTCTCCGCCTAAAGAATCGCTGCTAGCCCGCTCTTTCCTAAAGAACCTCAGCCGCATTTCCATTTTTCAGCGAGCGTCGCCGGATCGCGAACGTGCGCGCCGAGATCGAGGCGTTCGACGCGCTGGTGGAGACGGCGCTCACGATGGACCCGTTCGTCCCCATCGGCGATTTGCAGAAACAAGTCCTCAAGGCCAACTGCACGTGCACGTGGGGTGTCCTAAAGAATCTCTGCTAGCCTGCCCTTTCCCAAAGAATCTCTGCTATCCTGCACTTTCCTAAATAATCTCTGCTAGCCAGCCCTTTCCTAAAGAATCTCTGCTAGCCTGCCCTTTCCTAAAGAATCTCTACTAGCCTGCCCTTTCCTAAAGAATCTCTGCTAGCCTGCCCTTTCCTCAATAATCTCTGTTATCTCGCCCCAATTTCAGGATGAAAAGCCTGCCCCGTCCGAACTTGCAGAACATGCCCCGGCTCACCACCCACACCAGCCTCACCTACGTGCGCTCCCCGATGCCCAGATAGCCCCCCCAAGCAGATCCCCGGGGCGTTCAAGCTTAAAAAATCACCTTCTACCCGCCAAAACATTTGCAGTGCGTGTGCGATTCAGTTACTTGGATGAATAAAGTCTCTTTTCAAGCAAAAACAAAAACAACGTAAAAATCAACAAATGCATCTGGAATCACAACAAAATACGAGAAATTACGTCAACGATAAGGAATTTCCGGTTGTTGTGAGCTCGTCGGATATCCGCAGCCGCGCCTCATCTACCAGGTCGTTGCACCGCCTTTTCGACGTTGGCGGTGTTGGCTAAAACAATCGGATGTTTTTTTCTTGGAGGGATTGGAGATCAGAATGCCGAAACTTATAGATGGTCGAAATTCAGAATGCCGAAATTGACGAAGTCGAAATTTCAGAGTGTCGAAATCTCAAAATGCCGACATTTTTTGCATCGTATTTGGGGGTTTTTCTGCAACGGGTCTTTTACGATAGATCGAGGAATGTAATAGTGTAAATTTAATAGTGGTGAGGAAAATGACACTATACGAAAAAGTTAGAAAAGAATTCAGTAAAATAAAGCATTTTTCAGTAAGATTTCATGATATCGTAATTGGAAAAACAATTAAAAAACCGATTTTTTAATTTTTCATAAAGAATTGTAGTTTTTATGCTTGAAAATAGTCGAAAATCGTTTAGAAACATTTCCGCTTTCTAAATTACAAAAATTGGATCCTTAGCAAAAAAGTTGCGCCCCCCCCCCGATATTGCGAAAGAATCGGGGGTTTAAAGTAAGTCTGACGAGCCTTTTAAATTCTCGCGAAAATTCACCTGAAATACCACTCGAAAGATCCGATTCTGGCGGCCGGCCGGGTCCGCAGTCCGCTTTTCGACGATTTCCTCGCAACGAAGGGTCGTGTGAACGGCAACCTGGCTCTCAACGAGTTGCGGCACGTCGGAAAATCGCTAAATTATGTGAATTTCAAAAAAAATTCACGTAAAATTACATTTTCCGACCCTGGCTGGGCCACAAATGAGAAGTGGTGCTCGAAGATGGGGCGCAGTGGCGTTAGATGCTTCATCGGGAGACCTCGAGTGCATGACAGGTGATAGGTGACGCCTGTAAAATATCACTATATTTCCTAAAAATTATTTTGGTTCTGTTGCGTTATCGGGGGGGGGGGGCGTATTTTTTTATGGATGCACAAATCCACCCAAAATTTTGAAAAATTGAAATTGTAGGATAGTTATCGTGTTTTAATTAAAATCCAACCAAATATCAAGTGCTTTTCTCTATCTCAAATCCTCGAAACTTCGGAAAAATTCGAAATTTTTGTCAGAAAAATATAGTTTTTAAATTTTGTAATTAAAATTTGTGAACTTTTCAGGCTTAGGAATAGCGTAAAAACAGTTAGAAAAACCTCCGCCATTAACATAAAAACTGGTCCCGAAGAAAATCGAGAATCAAAAAAAAATCTAAATACGCAACTATTCAGGAAAACTTAATCTGGCTCAAAATTAAAAAAAGAAATAAAATACCGTATAAATTATCGAATCCTTTGGCCGATCGCTTGTAGCCGGCGGCATCATAGCCCGGGAAGAAGCCAGGATCGAACGGGCTCGTCCGCGTGCACTCCAGCGCCGTCTCGGCCGCGAGGTAGAGCACCTGAAAAATGGTGTTAAAAAAAATACAAAAAAAATTTGAAAAATAGTTTTTCAAGTTTTTCAAAAAATCGCTCACCTGCCAGGAGTCCATGTAGTGCTGCACATCGGAAATCCAGTCATCCTGGCTTAGCGCTACTTGAAAAGGTTAATTTATCATTTTTTAGAAGAAAAAAACAGGTGCTTTCTTCATATCGGGGGGTAACTTTTCGCTATGAATCCAAAAATGCCTGGTAGAGTAATAGTAAGTGTTTTAAGAGTGTTTTTAGCAAAAATTAGCTATGGTTCAAGCAGCAAACGAATTTTTAAAAGCTCGGAAAAAATTTTTTAGTCGAAATTTGGTCGAAAATGGGCCGTTTTGGTCAAAAAAAATCTATCTTCTTTGTAATTTTCAACAATTCTTTACGGTTTTGACGTTCAGGTTTTAAAAAAAAACAGTGAGAAACACTTCCACTATTTATATTAGCTAAATTGGATCGTAAACAAAAAAGTTGGACCCCCCCCCGATATTGGCAATGAACCAGGAAAACAGTACCTCTATCGAAATATCGGAATTCCGTCTGCTCGCGCTTCAGCGTCAGCCGGAAAGTCGATGTTGGAGAGTTTCTAAATTCGGATATAATTAGATTTTTGGACACTGACCGTTCAATAAACTCGGAGACGCCGCTCAGAATCCCTGCTAGAAGACGTCGGGCAAGCCGTAGATTCGTTTTCCCGCCGTGATGCGGGAAGTTCATCAGAATACAGTCGAACGGGCCTGAAAAATCTTTATTGGTATTGTAGAAGTTAATAACTACCTTCCGGAAAAGTTTCTGCCCTCGTCGCATCAACTCCAAAGCGTATTCGAACGTTCGGTAGGGCTTGCAATCGCTCCAGTATCGCCTCAGCCCCATATCTCGCCAAGAATTCGTCTTCATTCGCTTCTAAACAATGAGCGCATCGCATTTTGTATATCAGATTACCCAAAACGGTCGCCGAAATCCGCATCATCGGGTGGAGCGTGGCCAGCGCAAGGGAAAACGAGAAATTCCCGTCTCCGAGTATTAGGCACGAGCGTGGAGGGCCTAAAGTGTAAAATTTCGGGAACAACCTTCAAAACCCACGTAAAATCCATTCCAAATGCGCTCGTAGTACGTCCAATTCGCTGCAAAATTCTCTCCTCTCAACGCGCAGCTTCTTGATGTCTTTCAAAAGCCGGGAGAAGACTGGAAAAGAGGAATACTGGCAAAAAGCTGAGGCAAACCAACATATCGTTCGCTTGTCGAGGTCAGCGACGAGCATTTAGGAGGTTTCTGGGGCTGAATATTTGGTATTCGGAAGATTTGTTACTTTTGTAAAAATTAGTTTCTTTTTTAGAGGTTTTCGCAAGGTAAGCGATTGCTGCGCGTGCGCGGAACATAGCCGTCAGTAGTATCGTTGAGGGGCCAGTGCGAGGATTTCGCGAAACAAAAATCAAAAGTTTACAAATAATAATTAATAATGAATCCATTTTTCTTTCCCTAAAGACTCGGCTAGCCTACTCTTTCCTAAAGAACCTCTGCTAGCATGCATGAAAAGTCTGCAATTCGTCTAAGACTATTTATATTTAATCTTTCCTAACTCACCGCGAGGACCGAAATATGCAATCGTGTTTTCGTCCTTCATTTTTGGTTCAGTGTGTTTTATAATTCTCGATTTTACAGGTAATATGGCCTCACCGTTGCACAACCATCGTGGAGCAGGTTTCTAAAGCTACTTTTGATGATACCGCCCCTTTTTAGAAAGAAGTGATGGGGAGCTGTCGAGCGGCGACGACGAGCCGGCGGTCAAGTGCGCCCGCGTCCCTGCCATCTCGGAACAGTTGGTTTTCCTCTCTTGGACAAGGAATTCTCTTTTAGGCAATCGAGCTCGGGCACCAAATGGCGTCAGTTGATCGTGGAGCGCGAGCTGGACCGGGTCGGCGAGGTTCGACTGCAGGTTTGATAGTGCTTTTTTTGCTATAAAGAATGTTCAGGAAAACATCGTCAACCGTGGCAGCGAAACGTTCGAGCCACCGCCCGTGCAAGCTTCTTCGGTAAAAGATTTTTCCATTGAAAGGATAAACATTTTCAGGTGGCCGCTCCGCTGATCGCCGTCTCGCCCGCCGACGACGAGGACCCGTTCGCCGGGCCGCCCGATTTGGCCAGCATCGAGACGTTTGGTTTCAGCAAAAATGAGGTATACAGCTTGGTTCTTCTGCGAAATCTGATTGGTTCCAGCCCAGAAGAAAAGAGGACGACCGCGGCTTCCGGCGACAGCCTTGCTACGTCGCCGGACGCTTGATGACCGAACGGCCGCCAAGTTTGTTCGAGTTTTTGGATAACTATGTCTTTTAGAAAACTTTCGCATCAAGCCAAAGCAACCGGGCGCCGGCGACAAGGTGGCTAGTGGGTTTTTATCGATTTGCGAGGGCTTCCGGCTTTACCGGGCCGCATGATCAACTTTTTTCAGAACCAGTGGAACAACCGGCTGGCCGTGGTCGTGGGGGCGCGGCTCGAGGACATGGCCCGCGCGGGATGCCGATGCGGGGTGGCCGTGGCGGCCGAGGCGGCGGTCCGGCCGGGATGTCCAGACCCGGGCAGGTAGCGCATTCGGAGTCGTTATGGAAAACGACTTGTTATAGGCAATGAAACGCCCTCACGAACAACGGTACGAGCAGCGGCGGTACACGTTGGAGGGGCTGCTGGAAGCCGAATTCGATCCGGCGCTGAGCATTGAGGATTTTAGTCGGCAGGTTGGAGTTTTGGGCTTGGAGATGGTCTGGGAAGCTTATCTGAAAGCTCTCTGAAAGAGCACGAAAAATTTCAAATTATTTTTTTCCATTGAACAAGCGTTTTTTCCAGATGGCCGAGGCGCTTGGCGAGATGAACGTCGAGCTGTTGACGAAGTTGGTGACGTTGGCGGGCAAGGAAAAGGTAAATCTAGTTGTCTCGGCACTTAGATATCTTTAAAACGACGTTTACCTTTTCGCTAATAAGGTAGAGAGAAAATTTTTCTTTTTGTCATATATTTTTACGTATTTACTTTTCAGGCCTACGAAGTGTTCGACAAGACGCGCCAAATCGAGAAGGGCGGCGGGATGAAGACGGCTGATGGAAGCAGGCAGCGCACCCCGGGCGGCATCTTCATCTACCTGCTGAAGGCCGACGAGTCGCTGCCAAAGGAAGAAGTGGTATGGCCCGTTTTTTCATACGATCTGCGATAGTGTGTAGCAATGTAAAAACAGGGGTTTTAGTGAAATAAAATTTATACATTTTCAAAACCGGGCTTTCACGCTCGTCTCATTTAACTCTTTTTCAGGCCGCCATCTTCGCTCCCAGCCTCATCGAGCAGCGCAGAATCGCGAAGGCGAAGAAGCGCAGACGTCTCAACGAGGTTCGCATTTCCTCATGCTCCAAATTTAACTATTCGTTCTCCAGGCAAAAGCCCAAGCAGCAATGGAGGTTGATGGGCAACAGGACGACGTCAAGCCGCCGATCGAAGCGGAAACGATGGCCGCCGAGTGACCGCGTCCCCGATCCCCCTTGGTTTTTTGTTTGTTGTGTCCCCGTGCTAGCCCCAGTGAATTGATGCCTTCCTCCCAAGCGGGTCCTTTATACTTTGTTCGTGTTTGAGTTTGCAAAAATACTTTTTTCAAGTTGTCGATAAAAAGAAAATGTTATTTCGCAACGAAAAATATTGCGAAACGAGAAAAAACAATGTGATGGTGAAGGAAGTATCGAAGAAGGTGGAGAGGGGGTAGCCGAAGAGAGCGAGTGTTAGAACGAGTGACTAATTAAACTACAAACAACCCGGAGAGATACGAGACTGCTATGGTCAATAAGTTGGCGAGGTAGACGTGGTTTTCTAACGGCTTTGGCATCACGGCGGGCTGCTAGGAGATGGACATCCGCTCGTCGTACTGCACCAGCGTCTCGATCAATGGGTGATCCCTGCAAAAAGTTGGCTCAAAAAAGCAGGGAAAGCATACCGAAGCTGCACAACGCGCAGGGCCGACTTGGCGAGGGTCATCGGCGGCAATTCTGACCAGCGACCGGCGGCAAAGTCGTAGCGCTCGCACTTGTTGGTCGTGCGGTTCCCGTCGAATCCGCCGCAGACGACGAGGCCCGGCTCGTCGACGCGGTCCCCGAATTCTTGAACGGCAAAGTTTGACCTAGAAAGTTTACAGAAGGTGATGCAACAGGAGAGCATCAACAACCTCGTCGTGTTCATGTCGGGGCCGCGGTGCCACAGCCCCTCGCGCGCATCATAGAATTCGAAGGTGCGCAGCCGGTTCGTGCCGTTATAGCCTGGAAATTAGGATGTTATAGTTTTTGAACCTCTTACTCACCTCCCATCACGGCGACCACGTTCTCACCGATCGACACGGCGCCGACGCCCGTCCGCATCGAGTTCATTCGCCGGGGGAGTTCTTGCCTGAAACAAGCCAGTGACCGTTTAGAACCCGGAAAATCCTGTACCAAGTATCCTGCTGCGGGTCGTACAGCTCGACGGTGTCGTGGATCTGCGCCCCGTCGAAGCCGCCGACGCACATCACGCGGCCCTCCGAGCCGACGCGCGCCACCGACGAGTCGGATCTGAATTGAAAAGAAAAAAGTTTTGAGTCTGCCTGAACGCGCGGACCTGGCCCGGTGCATCGACGCGACGCGGCTCCACTGGTTCGCCTCGATGTCAAACACCTCGGCGCTGCGGAGTCGAGTGCTGCCGTTGAAGCCGCCCGCCACGAAGACGCGCCCGTCGCCGTAGTTGACCGCGCTGACGTAGCACCGGTGTTCGTGCATTGCCGCCAGGGAGTCCCATTCCTAAAAAGGAAGATAATAGCATGCAAAACATAGGAAACCAAGGTGTCCAGGTTGAAGGCGCGCGTGTGGGGAAAGTAGTCGGCGCCGTCGAAGCCGCCCATCACGTAGATTTGCTTGTCGACGAGCACCTAGGCGCAGTTAGCGACCAAAACAAGTCAGCAAACCATCGCGTGGTAGGCGCGGTGGCGTTCGAAGAAGCGCACCGGGGCCGGGATCCACTGTTTCGACCGCTCGTTCCACGTCTCGATCATGTTCGTCGGGCCGGCCGACGCCCATCCGCCCAGGGAGAGCAGCACGCTGCGCGGGACGCGGGGCATGAAGACGAGGCTCTCAGACGCGTCTTCGGCTCGCTGGCGCATGTTTTCCAACGAGAAGTCGCGGAAAGCGTGGCCCTCGGCCGCATCCTGGGCCTGAATTTTGAAGAGTAACTTTACAATGTAGCCAGTACCTTGATCCAACCGTCGACCACGTTCGTCTCCTCGGTCGGAGCGATGTTCAGCTGCGGTTCGAGGAGAAGCCGCTGCATCTCGGGCCGCGACAGCTTCGTGTACTCCTTGGTGAAGACGAGCTGAAATGATGGAAATTTCGGCGCCAAAGAGCACGACGAACCGTCGGGAACTCCTTCAAGATCATCGTCCAGATGCGGCGGGCCAGCGGCACGTTCCGGCTCTCGATGTAACTGCAAAAAAAGAATGAATCCTGAACGTCTAGCGAACCGGTAGACGGCAATGATGGACTCGGTGCTGACTTGGCGGATGATCAGCTCGGAAAGCCGCTCCACCAGCTCGTCCATGCTCAAGTAGGTGGCCGTCTCGAGCAGCTAGCAAAGAATGAGGTAGGTTTGATGCCAGGACACGTCCATACCTTACAAGACGTCCGCAAGGACATATCGTCAAGCTGCGCGTCGCCGGCGTGCATCTGCTCGCAGAGTTGGATGCAGTTCGAGAGGGCCTCCGCCGTCACGGTTGTTAGACTAAAAAATGTGATAATTAAACCAAAGTTATGCTTACGTGACGATCTGCTCTTCTTTCTCGGCCCAGTCGCCCTGCAGCACCGTCCGAAAAAACATCGAGCACTCGGCGAGTTCATCCTTGGGCAATGGAATCTAAAAAATACGGGTTTAAAGAGCAAGAAAAATTACAATGCGACCATCGGACGTTGCCACCTGCAGGTATTCGACGTGTTGGTACGTCAGGGCGCCATAGCTTCTGAACTCGGGCAGATCCGGGTCGACGTGACTGAAATTAAAGGTTGAACGGTCCACCTTGACGGGTAAATAAAAAAGAAAATTGTGACAATCCAAAGCTTGACAAAAGTTTAAAAGCCTCATGATGACGTCGAAAAAAAAGAATAGCAAAAGGAAACGATTGCCGATCGAAAGCTGACAAGTCAACGTCCATCCGTTCGCCCCCGGGATCGGGGTTTGCGCCGTCGCGAAGACGCCACTCGGACATCAGACGACGCCACACGTCGAAGATGTTGCCGGTGACGATTCGGGGCGGCGGGGCGATATGAAGAAGCTCGCAGCCCTGTCCGATTACATACCCTCGGATACGCAAACAAAAGCTACCAGCTTCCGGCCGCAAATCTACAATTCTAATCCACGTTCTTTCTGTAGAAACATAAGCCAACGCCGACAAGCCGAACTGCTACACTATGTTTTTATAGTTACCAATTGAATCTGTAATAATGTAGAAGTCGTTTTTGCAGTAGTAGTTCTCAGACACGGAGCTCACATAGTCCAGAATTATTCAGTGCGAATAATTTATCTCACAGCATACCACATCAAAGATTTAAAAGATTTACATGGGGAGGAGGGTAATGTTCAGAAGATACAATAGGCGCTTAGGAGGTTCCAAGGATAAGGGCAACAATCATACCGTAGAGACCAAGTACTTCGGAGAAGATGAGAATCAAAATCATTCCGACGAACAGACGGGGCTGTTGGGCAGTTCCGCGCACGCCAGCGTCTCCGACGATGCCAATTGCGTAGCCGGCGCCGAGACCGCACAGTCCACACGTCAAGCCGGCGGCGAGATGGGCGAAGCCTTTGTTGAGGTTGTATCCTTCTGAGGACGCTTGAACTTTGCCCTTCAACACCATCGCCACGACGAGACCGTAGATACCGATGATACCTGAAAAAGAGGAGTTATTGGGGCGAACAGTGCAAAAAAACTAGGTCCAAATACAACAAAGCTAGGAGCTTCTTCGGGATTCAAGTTGGGAGGGGCCACTGATGTCGGCATTCTGCGCGAGGGTATGCTTGGGGCGCTATTTCGGAATAGGGGACCCACTTTTATTATACCAAGGCTGGGGTTTGTGCGATGTTTTCCTGGATAGTTTTGCGCGCTGGTTCCGAATAAACACCATACTAACTTTAAAACCTAACATTTTCACACAGAAAAATTTGATTACAGTTTAATGGGCTGCCAGGGAACCTAGTGGCGCAGGCTCGACTTTTGGCTACAATACATTCCTAGCTCCGTTTTTGAACCTTAAACGTATGCATAAATAATGCTAAATGCTAGTAAGCCCGATCTTAGATTCATTGGGACCAAGCCTAGGCGACCCTGACTTACGTTAACCTAAGTAGAGCCCACCTGTAAAACTAGGCCGGCTCTCCGCCCCTGTCACGTAAAGTAAGGTAGCGATAAGCTGTTATTAAAACACGGAAACGTGTGTGTTCCAATACTTAGCATATACTTAGCGCATGTGTGTTCCAGTCAAGTCAAGTTCAAGCCAGAAATATAGTATCCCAAGTGGGTAGCCTAGCAAGTGCGCTGGCCAAGCCAAGACCTCCCGTCTTACGTCTTAACGACATCCTATAAAGATAAAATATTTTTGTACAAATGTACGTTTTTACGGGCTGGGACACCGTTTTTCGGAACAAACGCGCAAAACTACACCAGAAAAAATGGTTTTTAGAGTAATCAAAGTGGGTCCCCTATTCCGAAATAGCGCCATGCTTGGATCGTCAGAAGAAGCCTATGGCTGCGCAGAAGCCGAGATAAGCAGAGCACAGGCATAGCCTACACACCTTGACCAAAAGGGGCCTCCTCCAACTTCAATAGTTCCGAATTTTCCGTGCGCCGCATAAAAGTCAACTGACCAGCCATAATGACGGGGATGACGGACTTCATGATCAGCTCGGGCCTCATCACGCCCATCGATGAGATGCCGACGGCCGACTTGGCGGTGCCGTATGCTGCGCCGAGCACGGTGAAGATCTGCGCCGAAGCTGCTCCCATGTAGCCGAAGAAGGGAGCATAGGCGGCCCGTTCAGCCGATGCGAGATCGTACGACATGTCTGATCTGAAAAAAGGACGATTAGAAAAGCGAACCTTTGAAAAAGGAAAATGGAAAACGGCGAGCAGAATGGTGTAAAAAGGGGGGGAATTGCTAGGAAATATAAACGATTTGGTCATATTGACGTTGGCCTCTCTTGGGGGAGAACCGAAGGACAGAGATCAAGAGAATCAATACTTTCGCAATCAAAAACGTAGCCGCAGTTATGAGTGCAAGAACAGGGACTACTGAATTTCAGACGCGCAATCTTAGATCGAAACTGGTAGCGAATTCAGAGAAAATGAGATGAAGTTGCGAGAGAAATGACTCGCCATGGTCGGGGCCAGCAAATGAAGATCAATTTCAGGGCGCACGGCCAAACACAAACTATAGACCACACGCGACGAGAGATTGGGGAACCGAGCGATCGGAGGTGAACGGGAGCACAGGCAACCCCCGGGATGGCCGTATCAGTCTCGGAGAAAAGTTGGTGAAAAGAAACGGAGCGTGGGGGCGCTGTAGGCAGCAGCTACGGTAAAACGCGCGTTTTAGAATTAACTAAATTTCTGAATTCTGAAAAGCCAGACTGAAAAATGATGCTAAAACTGAAGATAAACGTCGAACTAAAAGAATACGAAAAAAAGAAGGCAATAAAAAAGCGGAAGATTTTAGAATGCTTGACAGCCTGAAAATCAATACTGCAAGATTAAATTTTAATTTGAAGCTTTTTAACGTTGAAAAGATACATTCGACATCAAAAGTCGTTCCACATTCCCATTTCATTTCAATAACGGACAATTTATCGAGAGATCAATGCATAGTAAATTTGTTGACCCGACTCTAGCGATGACAATAATAATAATAACAACGTGCAAATAGACAAATATGGCCTAGAATGACAACATAACATGCAACAAAGAGGCGGGTGTGGTTAGTCTTCGTCGGGTTCATCGTTCTCCGGCGAGTTCTCATGGGGGTCATAGTAGTACGGGCGGGTACCCCAAGCTTCGAGCTCCTCAGTTGTGCCGAAGATCAGCAACTTGTAGTAGCGGGCCATGCCGTCAGCGACGATTCCCTGAAACCACAGATTGTTTTAAAAGATTCCTTAGTGCTTCACTGCGGCTTCAAAATTTTTTTTCTTTAGGATAAATCTTGCCTAAATTGGACCCATTCTCTTCAATTTTTGCTAGTTAATTTTGTTATCCAATTTTTCGAAAAAATATAATAAACACTCTAAGAGATGGAGGAAACGTTTTTCAAGGTGTCTTTTAACGTTCCTAAACGTGAAAACTATAGGAATTTATTAAAATAACCTAAAAAATTGAGGCTTTGCACCTTTTAAGCAGTTTCTACAGTTTTTTAAAAGTTTTCAGCTTGTAAAATATGGCAAAATTTGGCCAAAACGATTATAAGCGTTTCTGAGCACTAAAAGAAAAATTTGGCACCTCCGGAAATTTGCGATAAAAAGATAAAAAGTTACCCTGCAAACGGCTTTCCCGACCCTGTCGACTTGTTCGCTGGCTTCGAGCTCGTCGAATCTGACGCCCTCCAGCCACGAGAAGCGCTTCAACTAAACGACACCAACAAAAGCTTTTTTATATAAATTTAAGTTTACCTGAGCGCGGGCGTTCTCGAACATGTTGTGCTCCATGTACATGAGCTCGTAGTAAATTTTGCACAACGCAAAGTGCTGGCGGCACAGCGCGTATTGCTAAAACAAACAAAATACTGGTCGAAAGCGTAAAAAGGTTTACCTTGCCACGCATCAGCTCCGCCTCCTTGAGCACGAAGCCGGACTCTTCGTAGGCGGGGCCGACCAGGCTGAGCCCTTTGTATGGCTTCTTAGTGTGCAGCTGATCGTGTTCTTCGCCCTAGGAAAATGATAAACCGGGCAATTGTAAAGCTACCGCACAGCACAGCGTCTGCTTCTTCATGCTTTTCGCGTTCTGCTCCGCTTCGTTCTCGTTGACGAAAAAGGCAAGAGCTGCCTGTTGCTTCAGCGAGCTGGGAAACTGCAAAAACTTGATTTTCAGAACAATACAAGAGCTCACCATGCGGCCAAAATTCTTCGCAGACTCGGCAAAGTCCTTCGGGAGCCCGGCGCGGGTCTGGATGTTCTCGAGGATCGTGCGGTTCAATTCTAGGATCGCGTTTCGCGCTGCGCGCAGCTCTGGATATTCTGGAATCAAAAAATGCTTGAGAAAAACACGGTGGACCCACTTTTCGACGAGAGCTTCTCCTTGTTCTTCGCCGTGGCGGTGAGCGCGTATTTGAAAAAGTTGTTCAGGTTGGCGGAGAGCTCTTGCGTGTCCCAGACGCTGTCGCAAAATACGGGAATGCCCTCCTGACGTGAAATAATTAATTGTATCACCAATGATACCTTTATTCGTCGCTCCATATCCTCGTCCAGCTTGGTGAGAGCGTGCGTTTTCCGGGTAGGCTTGGGCTTGGCGGGGCCTAGAGATAAATTTTGAAAAGTCAATTTTTGCTCACTGGCTGCTTGCTTCTTTCGGTACGTCACTTTCGCGGCAAGCTCATCAGGATCAGGCTCCTAAACGGGAAGTAAAATTTTTGCTTAAAGCTTACCACCGGTGAAGCTTCAGTGATCTCTCTGTCGCTGTCCATCGAACAGGAGCTAAATAACTATTTAAAGGCCAGTTAGCAGAGCTCTTATAATAGTTGGTGTGCAAAAACTGCCTGTAAGTCGACCCGCAACATATGACGACATTTTATTCATATACCAGTAGAGGGAGGCGACAAACAAAAAAAAGAGGAAGAGTAAGGATATCCCATCAAAACGGAAGAGAAGAAAAAGTGGCAGGAAGAGATGTTTCTTTTCTACGAAAAATCCAAAAAAAAGACACTAGCACAACGAAAAGAACGATACGAAAGTCATATTCTACATATTAGTCTACTCTGTTCACCGCTTCATTCTTCTCGGTCGGCTCACACGGACTCCGGATCGGTATCGATGGCTTTGAACCTGAAATTTGAACAGTTTTTATCAAAAACCGAATCCTGACCAATGGCCGCAGGTACACCGTTTCGGTTCCCCCTTCCGTACGACCATGAAGTTGACGTGGCCGCTGTCCGGTTCGCCTAGAAAGACGAGTTTTTCAAGCGTTTTGGAAGATTAAAATAGAAAAACCATCGGCAAAGGTCAATTCGCTTACACATGCATCCCATCATGCGATCCTCAAAGTGTGAGGGGACAAGATTCGGCGCCTCCTTCGTCGAGTACTCGCCTCGATAGTAGACCTTCGGTTCGTAGCGCTGAAAAAAAAGAGCATAAAATTAGCACAATGTGATTTACATCATCTCCAGCCAGGCGAGCCAGCAACATCTTCTTTTCACGGCCGGTCGCGTGCTCGATCGGGTCCGGGTAGTGGCCGTAATCATCGGGATTGGCCTGGAAAAGAATATCACTCTCGCCGTCGGAAACAAAAAGAAAATGAAACGGCAAGAAACCACACCTCAGTAGCAAAAGCCCTAGAGCTCGATGTCGCGACGGCGCACGTCGTCCTTCTGACCACGCCGGCCAAGCTGGCGCGCAGAGCTGTCAAGGACATACCTGAAATTGGATCTTTATTATCTCAACAACGAACAATTCGAGAACGAGAAACAACGGAATGAAAGGGCCTGCAACTTGTGCAAACGCCAAAACAACAAAATCAACAAGGTGATCGGAGGATACCACGTGGACAAAGGCGGGTGAAGAAGCAAAGTCTAAGAAAATCGATAGCGCCAGTTTTTTTAGGCGAAAAAGTCGTGTGAAAAAAGAAAAGTAGTCGGTGGCTTGGGACGCTGAATCATCGTTTGCCGCCCTTCTTCTTCTTCTTCGGCTGGGCCGCTTTCTTTGCACCGTGCTTGGCTTTCTTGATCTGAATTGAGAAGTTAACACATCTTTTTTTCCAGCCAAAAAATTATAGTCATGAACACATAAGAGAAGCAGATGAAACTTGCCTTTCTCGCGCTCAGCCAAACCGGATACGAGCCGTCAGCCTTCTTCATCGTCTTCAGGTTGATCGTTGCTGGGGCGGTCGCTGCGGCGTCGGTTTCCATTTGCGCTTCCTTGCGTGCGTTCAGCTCGGCGTTGAGCTCGTCTTTCGTCGTCGTGGCGAGCGTTTCATCGAGCTTCTTGAGAACCTAAAAAATCGGGTATTTGTGTGATTTCGAGCCGTTATCGAAGAAAAAGACCCAGCTCTGCCTATTTGCTGAAACACAATTAGAAAAACTACTCACCTTCGGCTCCTTCTTGACGCGGGCGATGCTGCGCATCTTCCTCTTGAATTTCGAGCGCAGTGACTTGGCCATCTAGAAGAATTACAAGATTGATAATTTTTTTTGAGAAGCTCAGGAAAGCAAGTCAATACAATTTTTATAAGGGGAACGGACCCCGAAAGTCTTGGGCACAGAGAAGCAACGGAGCTAGTTTGTATGCGTATCCTAGTGGGCCCATAGAAAACCGCTAATTTCTTTTCCAAAGCCACGTTTCAAAGAATTGTACCACTTCGCGATGCCTCGATCGTAGCAAGATGTGTATAGGGTATCAAACCCTTGAATTCACGATTTGGCCACAACGTGGAATCCAATAATTTATCCAAGACACGTACAATGAGCCGTTTAGGTGGGGAGAGACAAAACGAAGATGGTGATAATGATAGGGTGGTGGCTGGAGAACAACGACTATACACCGGGCTACAGGAATCGCAGAGAATGGGTAGATACACAACGGTAAAGCGGCACTGGAAAAGACGGGGAGGGGAATAAAAAACAGAGACAGTTTTAATGAGGAGATCGGTGTGTGCGGTTGCGAGCGGGCGGACGGGCGCGATCAGTCCTGGCCAGTCGGGCATTCCGGGAAGTTGTCCACGCGTTCGTACCCTGAAAATGGGAAAAATGAATTTAGCTTTCTCTCCAATCTTTGCAAAATTTTTCGGCCAAATATCGGTGAAAAGAACGTTAATAGAACGGAAACGCAAGCGGTTCTCTCGAACTATCTCGGATCTTTTTTAAAAACCAATTTTTCATCTAAGTGTTTCTATTTCTAAACTTTTTTGACTATTCCTAAACTTTACAAATTTTTATGAAAATACATAAAAACCATATTTTGACTTTTTGGTTGTTTTTCTACTGAAAAGACAGTTAAATCTTGCTCAAATCACTATTAGGACACTTACTAAACGTTTCTGGACTTAGAGGAAAAAAAACATTTTTTCCTCCTGATAATGCGAAAGAACTTTGCAAGCAGCTCGTTACCGTAAGCCTCGACTCCGCTGGTGTCCGGTGGCTGACTGAGGGCACCTCGCATCCGACGCGTCATACGACCGAAGAGGCCGGCCGGGCCCGACTCGTGCTCCTCATCGTGCCGCAGCGGTCCCGCCGTCTTTCGCTTGCCGCGCGGCTCGCCATGCACGAAGATGCGACCCTAAACTGATCATGAAGAGGAAAGAACTAATAAAACCAAACCTGTCCAAGAAGTGCCTTCAGTATCGTGTCGTCCGTCTTCTCGAGAACCCGTTCAGCCAATTTCAGGGCACTAAATCAGAGAGTAGCAGGTGGTGGAAAAGTGAAAATACCGTTCGTAGGTGACCTGTTGCTCATCGATGGGCGGGATTTCGGCGACTCCGGCGATGGCATCGATGCGGACGGACACCATACCCGATTCGGACAGGCGAACCAGCTCGTTTTCCAACTAAAAAAGCATCAAGAGACTAGAGGTGTTAACCTGGCCAACAGTGCACCGGAAAATGGTCGCCGATCGCTTCAGGTCGACGACAAGGTACGGGCTAAGGTGAAGCAGAAGGGCACGGTCAAAGATCATCGATTCGAGCTTCTAAAAAAGTAGAAAGTCGGATTTTCGCTAAGGCAAACCTTCAAGCATTCCGAGAGCCGCGGGTCGAGGAGAAGGCGATTCCGAGAGGCGGCGAGCCCATCGAGCACTTGTCCCCAGTCACTGCGCACCCACGCCGTCAGCAGACTCATCAACCACGGCTCCATCTCGAGGAATCGTCTATGAACCACGTGTAAAAAATCTATTAAAAACCGACTTGAACTGATGCTCGTCGTTGCCGGCGAGTAAAGCTTTCAGGGCCCGGCGTTCGAAGGTGGCCAGAGCGCAGAGGATTCCGTAAGCAGCTATGTCGGAGTGGGAGACCAACCACGGGACCGGGATCTCATCGGGATTCGACTAAAAGCAATTCTTTGAGCTCAATACGCAAAAATACCTGCACAAGCTTTTCCGCAGCCTCCTTGTACTTGTTGTGGTTCATCAGGGAGAGACCGTGGAAAATGTCAAGGCGCGCCTAAAAGAAGTTAGGATCAGAAATTTTGAGTATTGTCGGACCCGCGTGGTCTTGATGAGCCCCTTGTTGGTCTTGGCGGTCTGCGACTGCTGGCTGTTTTGCGGACGGCGATTCGGGTGGGCGGTCACAGAGTTCTAAAGCACAGTTTTTTGGTGACTGCGAGCGCCCACATCCGCTTCCATGGCATCGGCGAGGCATCGCTCAGCTTGCGCGATGAGAGGCTCGACGCGAATCCAGTCGGCTTCCTCCAACGCCACTTCGAGCCAGTCCATGTACATCTAAGCAAAAATAGAAACTAGCAAGGAAAAGGGGCGCGGGGGGGGGTATCACGACACTTACGGCTCGAAATTTTAGAACGAACAAGTCTGCTCCTGTTAATAACGATTAATTTAGAAAATTAAATGGCTAGATGTCTGCTATTAAGCTTGACAGCACTTCAGTCATTGCAAAGGTATCATATCATTCGAAAACGGGACATCGGGCCGCAAGTGTCGGATCAAAAATCTGATTTCCGGAAAGGAGCGCATACAGCAATTGTGTGCTTGAATTGAGTGCAGTAGTCGCGCATGCCCTTGTTGAAGAGTCGGCTGGCATCGGTGTGCAGTCCGGCGGAGACGTAGTGGTGGAAGAGGTCGTCCATCGCGCGGCGCGTCGATTCCTTAAAATCAAATCATTTGGAAAACCAAAAACCCCAACCTTAACCCCCTCATCTTTCTGGCGCTTGAACTCCATCAGCAACGCGTCGGTGGTGGCCTGCATGGCTTGCTGCGTTTGCGTCACCCATCTAGAAACTCTTTTTCCTGGGTCAGAAAAGGGTATTTACGCTTGATCGACTGCTCCTTGCGCGCCAAGACCCTCTAGCTTGTTGGCCACGTGCAGGTAACGGGAAGTACATTTTGTTTTCTAAAAAAAAGCAGTTTTTTCATAAAAGCCCAAGCAACCTTGCGCAGGGTCTCGAGCATCAGCTGATAGGCCGACTTCTGGAGAGGCGGGCAATGGTCGGCGATGAACTGGAGTCGACTGATCAGGGTGAATGGCTAAAAACTCAAAATTAAAAATTCCAAAACCTAAAAATCACCGTGTAAAAACGGCTCATCGCCTCCAGGTCCAGGGCGGCCGTGTCGACGACCAGTGTCTCCGACGGCCTGGCCTCGGCACCGTCAGCGATATCCATTGGGATGGCCTCTGATTTTGCTATTCATTAATAAATTCGACAACAATGAGTGCCAAATCTTGTAAAGCAAATTTACCATTAGTCCGGCCGAGCAGCTGGTTGGCAGGCAACAAGGGCGGCGCCTCGAAGCTATCCACCTCGTCTGGCCACTCGTCGTCGTTGTTGTCGTTTCCGTTGGCTGTCTAAAAGCACACTTCAGCAAACTCATCATAAAAACGAATGAAGTTTAAAAACCCCTACCTCCATTGTGTCGTTCGGGTCGAACTCGACCATCAGCTCATCGTGGTTGCGCGGAAGATTACCCGACATCTTCCTGCAATCGATAGATCGAGAAGAAATTGGAAATTTGAACAGAATTTCTTTAGAAACTTTTCACAGAGATTCGTTTTTTTATTTAGAACGCCTCATCGCGGTGATTTCGTATAGAGCGCTCATATTCCCAGCGTATTTAGGCCGCTCGCGTATTCTGCTCCAACATTACTCGGTTAGTAAGTAACTCGGTTAGTAAAGCGCCAGCGGGCGCGCCAACTTCGGTGCTATTAGCGGACGCGCAGGCGCGCCATTAGCGCTTTTGGCAAAAGCGCCCGTTGGCGCGCTCATTTGTCGGATTGCGCTCATAAAGCGCCCATTTCTTTTAGCTGGTCGGACGGGGGTTTTCGTAAAATAGTTTTTATTATTAAAATAGGGGTGTAATAGCATCGCTTTTGCGATGTGGTACACTAGAAGAGGCGCGTTCGACGTGTAAGCCCAAAAATTGTCGGTCTGCGCATATAAATAGCTTGTCGAGAGGCAAAATCTTTGTAAAACCTATTTTTTTTTTGCTTTCATAGCGCCAGCGCGCGTATTTGACCTAAAAGCTAGCTAACGTACCTTTACTCATCTAATCGCTCGCTACGAGAAGTGTTCTAAAAGTTTAGAAACTGACGCAAGTTAATCTAAATGTTTCTTTTTCAAGGAGCCTTTTTTACTCTTACTTACTCATGTAGGCGCGCGCAGTTCCCAACTTCATGGTTGCCTGAAAATGTAGCTTTGTAGCATAGTTGGTCAAAACCTGCAATGGTTTGGTCATATAAAATAAAACTTACGAAGCTGTAAAAAAACTTTGTACCTGGGTCCTTGGGAATTGCGATAATGAGCAGATAGTCAACGTTTCAACAGTTACTTCTAACAAAACAACGGTGATCATACATTGTGTTTAATAAAATCTACAAAGTGAAGAATTCTAAATTGTTTCATAATTCTAGGGACTTAGTGAAATTTTCGAACCGTTGAAAGGTGTTCAAGAATTCAAATGCGCGAATGGGCGCTTCCTTTTCATCGCAATTGCGCCACTTCGCGCTTTTTTTGTATAATTTCGCGCGTCTGCGCTAGTGGCGCTTCCCTTCGCGATAAGCGCCATTGGCGCTCCCACTCTCCGTATTGGCGCGCCCGCTAGCGCATTGATGAAGTTGGCGCGCCCGCTGGCGCTTTATTAACCGAGAAAGCGCCAGCGGGCGCGCCAACTTCGGTGCTATTAGCGGACGCGCAGGCGCGCCATTAGCGCTTTTGGCAAAAGCGCCCGTTGGCGCGCTCATTTGTCGGATTGCGCTCATAAAGCGCCCATTTCTTTCAGCTGTTCGTACTGGGGTTGTAATAAAATAGTTTTTATTATGAATAGGGGTGTATTAGCGTCGCTTTTGCGATGTAATACACGAGAAGAGGTGCATCCGACGTGTATGCCCAAAAATTGTCGATCTGCGCACCTAAATAGCTTGTTTAGAAGCATAAACTGTGTAAAACCTGTTTTTTTGTTTGTTTTCATAACGCCAGCGCGCGTATTTGACCTAAAAGCTAGCTAACGTACCTTTACTCATCTAATCGCCCGCTACGAGAAGTGTTCTAAAAGTTTAGAAACTGACACAAGTTAATCTAAATGTTTCTTTTTCAGGGAGAATTTTTACTCTTACTTACTCATGTAGGCGCGCGCAGTTCCCAACTTCATGGCCGCCTGAAAATGTAGCGTTGTAGCATAGTTGGTCAAAACCTGCAATGGTTTGGTCATATAAAATAAAACTTACGAAGCTGTAAAAAAAACTTTGTACCTGGGTCCTTGGGAATTGCGATAATTAGCAGATAGTCAACGTTTCAACAGTTTCTTCTAACAAAACAACGGTGATCATACATTGTGTTTAATAAAATCTACCTAAAGTGAATAATTCTAAATTATTTCATGATTCTAGGCACTTAGTGAAATTTTCGAACCGTTGAAAGGTGTTCAAGAATTCAAATGCGCGAATGGGCGCTTCCTTTTCACCGCAATTGCGCCACTTCGCGCTTTTTTTGTATAATTTCGCGCGTCTGCGCTAGTGGCGCTTCCCTTTCCGATAAGCGCCATTGGCGCTCCCACTCTCCGTATTGGCGCGCCCGCTAGCGCATTGATGAAGTTGGCGCGCCCGCTGGCGCTTTATTAACCGAGTATTGTTGAATCTATTCAGTTGTTATCAAAAAATTTTAAATCTAAAAATCAAAACGTTGTGATCTTGCATACATCTCATTTTGAAACGCAAAATACGGCTTGATTTACCTTTATGGTCCTCGCCCAAAAAGTGTTTTTTTTCGGGTCGGAATCGATCTAGCAATGATCAAAATGTAGTATTCAGTAAAAAATGCGCCGGAAAGAGGTTTTTAAGAGCTAAAAAGACGTTTTTTGCTAAAATTCGGGGACCATAAAAGGGGGGTACGGGGGTATGTCGTTTATGGTCCTCGGCTAAAATCCATTTTTTCTTGTCGGAAACAATCCAGAAATGTTCAAAATATCGTTTGTAGTCCAAAAAAAGCGCCGGAAAGACCTTTCTAGCTGCAAAAATTATTTTGGTACGAAAATTCATTCAGCCCAGTTTTAGCCTAAAAATAAGGCTTCGTGCCACCCGGGCCCTAGTCGCTTCGGATGGGCGCGAGCTCGTACAGTGTTTCGAAATCGGGGCACCCGAGCAGCGCGAAGCGCCCAGGGGTAGCCGCGAGCGAGGGGCATCCCCAGGCTGGGGGTAGCCGCGAGCGTTTTTCGAATTTCGAGATCGCGCATTCGCCCTTCCCTTGTAAGCCGTAGAATCATGAGAAGATCCGGGACTCAGTTTATGTTTTCAGAAGCATGGACCGGAGACGGAGAGCTGGTTTTTCCGCTGCCCCTACCCGCATCATGGTCAGGATTTGCACGTTGTTTAAACCACTACAGAGTCTCGAAAGTTAAGTTTTGCGATTCAGAGGTGAAGGTGATGGCGCGACTTCATGCTCCTAAGGAAAACGTCCATTTTCCGAGGCGCTGGCTGACCGTTTCCTTCATGAAGATATCGCATCCGAAGGCCCTCGGATAATCATCGTTTTCTTTTTCTTTCTTTGTCGGGTCGAATAAATCCCACGAATGGTTTTAGAATTTTTAACTACACAGGTTTTACGTCCAAATCAAACGGGTGGGGGAATGGATCAGCGTGCGGCGTGCGGCAGGCTTTGGTGCTCCTTTAAAAGGGCTCGGAAGTAAAATCATCATCAACGCCAAGGAGGCGAACCCCACTCCTAAACCCCTAAATTTCGCCGATCGGTAGTTGGTCTCTAACTTCCGGGTAAAGCTTTTTATCGCAGCGTATGGGGGGATGAGGGCTAAAAGCTACAAAATACACATTTGAACGAAACATTGGAAAACGCGGATCCGAGGATTGGGTGGGAAAAGGGGAGATGGGAGTGGAATAGACATCAGAAAAAGTGAAAATGAAGAATACTGGAAAAGGCAATTCACACAAAATCTCGAAAATTGCAAATCATCGAATATAACTTGAAAAAGTACGGTAATTGTTGTAAATTTTGAAAAATATAGCAAGAATTAATGAAAATGGCTTCAGACCTTTTTTGGGGGGCTTGGAAACCGATTTATTTAGACGTCGGTGTCGATGAAGTGGCTGATGCGGGTGGATAGGCGGGTGGGCAGTTGCCGCTCATTAAAATGGATTGATTAAACAAGTTGCGTTCATTTTGTGCAATCAAATGATCTCTGCTAGCCTGCCCTATCGATCCTAAAGAATCTGTGCTAGCTTTCTCTTTCCTAAAGAATCTCTGCTAGCCTGCCCTTTCCTAAAGTATCTCTGCTAGCATGCCCTTTCCTAAAGAATCTCTGCTAGCCTGCCCTTTCCTAAAGAATCTCGGCTAGCCTGCCCTGAATCCATGAAATCCGATACCTCAATTCGGACCACCTTCACAGCCAGCGGATCGGGGCTCTCGTCAAATTCGGGCGAGCTGAGCGGGGCCGCCTGAAAATTCTTCCAATAAATATGGAAAAATTGGACCAATATTTATAAAAAAATAATTAACGGATGGATAGAAAACTACCGGAAACGGCTTCAGAAACGGATTCTCGGTCCCGTCCGAGTTCAGCAGGGCCGGCGGCTCGATGGCGTCCTGAAGATTTATTTGTGCCTATTTTTCCATAATAATTTCTTTAATGATTTTTCCAGGATTTTTATTGTAAACCTACGCTAAAAATTTTAAAAAATACCCTAAAGATGCTGGGCGGCTCCGTGAAGTCGGAGACGTCCAACTCGGGCATGGTCGCCCTAACCCTGAGGTTTTCAGGGTTAGAGTCGAATTCCTTAGCGGGCAGCTCCTGAAAAATTGCAATAAGTATCCCCAATGATCGCTGCTAGACTGCCCTTTCCTCAAGAATCTCTGCTAGCCTGCCCTTTCCTAAAGAATCTCTGCTCGCCTGCCCTTTCCTAGAGAATCTCTGCTAACCTGCCCTTTCCTAGAGAATCTCTGCTAGCCTGCCCTTTCCTAAAGTATCTCTGCTAGCCTGCCCTGCGTACCTCGTCCGGTTCCGGCAACTGGAATCGACTTTTCGGCGTGTCCGTATGCAGCGGCTTCACGGTCTTGCGCAAAAAGTTGACCTTGCCCCCGTCGCGGGTGCCGTGCTCCACGACGATCTCCTGAATTTTCAGGCTAAGCCTAAGCCCTAAGCTAAGCCTGAGCCCTATCTAGGCCTAAGCCTAAGCCCGAGCCGAAGCCTCAGCCTAAGCCTAAGTCTAGGCATGAGCTTGAAAAACCCACATCCCGGACGAGCTGCTTTTTCTCAGCGGTGACCTCTACCTGAAAGGATGGTTAGCTTTCAAAGCCTATGAAAACCAACGAATTGATTAGCTATATGGGGTTTGGCTTGCCAATTCCTTTAAACTTAAAAAAATCCGAAGAATCAAGCGGTTGTAACCTTGATCAAAATTTGAATGGGTCCGACAAGCCGCGGTAAAACTGGTGAAAAGCTATAAAAAGCGGGTGGTAGCTTACATTTCTCGACCTGCGGCAGCTGCGGTAGACGCAGTAGATGAGGGTGGCGAGGAGCAGGAGCAGCAACAGCAAACCAATGGTGACCAGACTAAAATGTGCAGCTAAGCCTAAGCCTAAGCCTAAGCCGAAGTCCAAGCTGAACCTAAGCCGAAGCCTAAGCCTAAGCCTAACCCTAAGCTCATCCTAAGCCCAAGCCTAAGCCTAAGCCTAAGCCTAACCTAAGCCTAAGCCTAAGCCTAAGCCTAAGCCTAAGCCTAAGCCTAACCCTAAGCTCATCCTAAGCCCAAGCCTAAGCCTAAGCCTAAGCCTAACCTAAGCCTAAGCCTAAGCCTAAGCCTAAGCCTAAGCCTAAGCCTAAGCCCAAGCCCAAGCCTAGACCTAAGCCTAAGCCTAAGCCTTAGCAGAAAAAGCCTAACCCAAAACCGAGCCTTACGTAGTGATCCACGGCTCCTCGGAAGGCTCCGGCTCGAGCAGGTCGTCGTCGTAGTCGTCGTGCTCAGTCTGAAAACTGGGAAATACGTTTGAAAAGTACAACTTGGTCAAAATTTACGTGTTAACCTAGCCATTCTATCGATTCTAGCTGGAGTTAAATGGTGTAACCAGATCGAAGGTACATTAACACCGCGCCAGGAGGGTTAGAAAGTGCGGGAGAGAGAGAGAGACAGAGAGAGCCAGAGTAAGATTGTTAGTACGTTACAACACATCATAAACCGTACAGAAATCCATGCGACCACCTTGGTGGGCTCGGGGGTTGACGGGTCGCTGGTCAGCCGGTCGAGAATCTCGTCAACCTTCTCCTCGGGACCCTCCACAAATTCGGCCTGCAATCAACGGGGTTGGCCCACAATTTTCCGCAAATGGTCTCTGCTAGCCCCGCCGAAGCCTAGTGCAGGAATCCTCTTCCAAAAGCTTTCGGAAAAAAAATCGAACTCGGGTGCCCAGCTTGGCGTCCCGGCGCCTTAGCCACTGCGCGACAGCTAGATTGCAAGAATTCGGGTTAAGACAGTCACAAAGGCTGGTCGGGGGAAATGCTGCTTAAAATGAGGCAGGCCAAGGGGAAGCCTAAGCCCAGTTCTAAGCACAAGCCTAAGCCTAAGCCTGAGCCCAAGCCTAAGCCATAGCCTAAGCCTAAGCCTAAGCCTAAGCCTGAGCCTAAGCCTAAGCCTAAGCCTAAGCTTAAGCCTAAGCCAAAGCCTAAGCCTAAGCTTAAGCCTAAGGCTAAGCCTAAAGCCTAAGCCCAGTCCTAAGCCTAAGCCTAAGCTCAAGCCAAAGCTCAAGCCAAAGCTCAAGCCTAAGCCTAAGCCTAAGCCTAAGCCTAAGCCTAAGCCTAAGCCTAAGCCCAGGCCTAAGCCTAGGAAGCCTAAGCCTAAGCCTAAGCCTAAGCCCAGGCCTAAGCCTAAGCCTAAGCCTAAGCCTAAGCCTAAGCCTAAGCCTAAGCCTAAGCCTAAGCCTAAGCCTAAGCCTAAGCCCAGGCCTAAGCCTAGGAAGCCTAAGCCTAAGCCTAAGCCTAAGCCTAAGCCTAAGCCTAAGCCTAAGCCCAGGCCTAAGCCTAGGAAGCCTAAGCCTAAGCCTAAGCCTAAGCCTAAGCCTAAGCCAAAGCCTAAGCCTAAGCCTAAGCCTAAGCCCAAGCCCACTTACACCCTCCTCATCAAACCACGACACGACAGTGGCGGTGCGGATCCCATTCAGCTCGAAGATGGGGTCCTCCGTAGTCGTAGTGGTAGTGGAGGGGGAGGTGAACGTGGTCGTGACGCCGGGAATATCGACAGAACGGCCATGCTGCAAAAGCCAGGCGGTTAGGGCTCGAAATTAGTCGCGAAAACGGTATGACGCTTGGATAAAAATCAAGGTAAAAAAAAATCAAGGATTAAAATTCAATAAAAATTAGAATTCAAAGTATATGTAAAAGTAAAAAAGAGGCGGGAAATCCCTAAATTAAGTTTGCTAGCCTGCCCTTTCTTGAAGAATCTCTGCTAGCCTGCCCTTCCTAAAAAAATCTCTTCTAGCCTGCCCTTTCCTAAAGAATCTCTGCTAGCCTGCCCTTTCCTAAAGAATCTCTGCTAGCCTGCCGCTTACCAGCTCGCGGTCGGCCGGCAGGACGTAGACGGGCAGCGGGGTGTGGATAGTCGCATCGGTAGTCGATGCCTTCGGCAAAAATCCGTCCTGCTGCTCCGCCTAAATTCCATGATTCCGCTTGAGTACTGTAGACGTTTCTGGCATGCTTGGCTACTACTGTAGGGTTACTGTAGGGCATTAAATTGCAAAAAAGCGGGAAGAAGATACAGTAAGATTGTAAAAAATTTTTACTTCTGAAAACGCTTTATCAGAAAATAAAGAATTGAAAAATCGAAAATAGGAAAGTAAAAGATACAGTAATTTCAAGCAAAACATATGGAAATGCAACAGAAAATGAAAAGATACAGCAGAAAAAGTTGAAAAACTGAAAATCCTAAAATGTCGAAAATGCGAAATTGTACAGTATTTAGTAAGAAAAGAGAAATACACACAGTAAAGTGCAAAAATGAAGGATATAAAATAGAAAAATGAGGAAATATTAAAATACAAAAATTGGAGAGTACAGCAGAAAACAACAATCAATTAAAAAATCTAAAAATCAAAATCATACCTCAAGAAGCTCCGCATTTTCCTCTTGACGTTCTGTGGGTTCAGAATCTACGTCCCTTTCCGCTACCGTAATCCCTCGGGTTACGGTAGTGGTTGCTGCCGACGTCTCGGTTACGGTACTTCCCTGCAGGACCTCGTTTTGCGAGCGGGCTACGGTACTTTCGCCTTCTTCACCAGATTTTGTAGTTTGTAGTACCTCGTCATTTGGAAAGGAGGGTAGTTTCGTTATTTCCCAAGAATTTGGGGTTACGGTAGGTCGGGAATTCTCATTTTTTGCTACCGTAGCCTGCTCTTCTTCGGAGTATGTTTCATACGTCACAATGGTCTCCGGGAGTGCTGTAGTCTGTAGCGGCTCGGAATCTAGGTCAGAAATTGACGACTCCAGGCTGGTATCCGGTTGAATCTCGAAAACGTGCTCAATTTCGGGTACGGTAGCCGGGGATACGGTAGTTTTTAGCCCGGCCCAATTTCCGATTTCTCCCGAAGTTCTCGTAATTTTTGTAGGTGTGGTTTGTAGGATCTGAATTTCTACCGTGCCCCGGTCTGGGGCTACTGTAGACTCGGCTCCCGTAATTTCAGCGCTTCGCGGAGGACGGTAATTTCGGATACTGTAGGCTGTAGCGTAGCGGAATTTTTGCTTTCTACGGTGTTGTCAGGTGTGGTTTGTAGCCTTGCAGAAGCCTCTGATTGCTCTACCTCAGTCGGAAAAGTCGTGATTTCTTCAGAATCGATTTTTCCGGGTACTGTTGGTTTCGGTGTGGTTTGCAGTTTCTCGGAATCATCGTAATTTGGATCGACCGTAGTTGAGTCCTCATTTTCATTAGGATTCCGGCGTACTGTAGGCGCAACTGTAGTTTGTGGCACCTCGGAATCATTGTGATCTGGATATATCGTAGTTGAGTCCTCAGCGTAAGTAGGATTCCGGCGTACTGTCGGCGGATCTGTCGTTTGTAGTCCCTCAGAATCCTTCAAATCAGAAGCTACAGTAGTCGAAAAAGCCCTAATTTCCTCAGAATCAATTTTTATAGGTACGGTAGACACGGATGTAGTTTGTAGCGTCTCGGAATCCTTGGAATCTGAAGCTTCCGTAGTCGAAAAACTCCGGTTTGTTTCGGAATTCATCTTTCCGAATACGATAGCCTTCTGTGTAGTTTGTAGCCCATCAGAATTCGTATTTTCGGCTTCTAGCGTAACGGTCGTCGCTTCGAGCGGCGTGGAAAACGTGATATTTTCCAGGTGTAGCGTCCCGGAATTTTCTGCCGGGGATGTCGTGGTGTTGACGAGACTTTTGGGCTCTCGCTGCGGGATCGTCACCTTGAACGGCTTCGGCCGGGTGCCCTGAAAAGCAAAAAAATACAATATCAGATGCAAATTAAGCGGAAAAAAAGGAAAAAGGACAGCAAAAATAAAGAAAAAGGATTAAGGAGAAATATTAAACAGATTTGCGTAAAAAAATGGAATAAACTCCTTTATATTGTCTTTTTAATAATTTTAAATTTTAAATTGCTTTGGAAAATGGCAAAATTTCCTTCTTTTTGTTATAAATTAACTCCCAGCTCGCTGGCGCAGTGGTAGTGGGCTATGATATTGCGCAAAGGGTCCGGGTTCGGAACCTTACCGGCTTCTTAGGCTTAGCTTAGGCTTAGCTTAGGCTTAGCTTAGGCTTAGGCTTAGGCTTAGGCTTAGCTTAGGCTTAGCTTAGGCTTAGGCTGAGGCTTAGGCTTAGCTTAGGCTTAGCTTAGGCTTAGCTTAGGCTTAGCTTAGGCTTAGCTTAGGCTTAGCTTAGGCTTAGCTTAGCCTCAAAACACTCACAATCTTCGCATCCAGTTGGTTTTGGTTGAGGAAGAGGTATTCGAGGTAGTCGCCTTTCAGGGTGCCGTTTTGAAAGCTCAGCAGGTGGCCTGAAAAACGCAAAAAAATCGATAAATAAATTGAAAATTAAATCAATAATGAATACAATATAAAACCTTCAAATTTCCCTACCTTCGCTCCACTCCTCGATGACCTGGTTACAGTAGCGGGGCTCACAACGGCAGCGGAGTTCCTGAAAAAATGCTTTGCTTTTTCACACGAATCCCAAAGAATCTCTGCTAGCCTGTCCGTTCCTAAAGAATCTTTGCTAGCCCGCCTCACCTTTTCCGTGTCGCCTCCGACGAGGATGCAGTATTTGTGCTTCCTGATGTGGGGCTCGGTGAGGTGCTCCCAGTGCGCGTACATATCCTCGCAGCCCAGCGCTCGGACTCCACGATGGGCTGGAAAAATAATGTTAGGCTGAGCCTAAGCCTGAGCCTAAGCCTAAGCCTAAGCCTAAGCCCAAGCCTAAGCCAGCCCAAGCCTAAGCCTAAGCCTGAGCCTGAGCCCAAGCGCAAGCCTAAGCCTAAGCCAAATTCCGTACCAAAAATGGCTCTATTCTTGCTGTCCTTCGGGAGTCTCATGGCAAAGGTGCAGGGCTGGTGGCAGAGCTTGGCCATGCGAGTGATAGCTGGGTAGATGGGGCACGCCTTGATGCCGTTCTGGGGCGAGAACAGCCAGGAGGCTTCTTGACAACCGTAATCTTTCTGAAAAAAGAGCATCAGAGAGTGAGAGAGAGAGAGAAAGAGAGAGAGAGAGCTATGGAAACTCACATTCCAATACGCGCGATCATGACATGTGGTGCACGTGTACTTCTCCTCGGCCACGCTAAAAATAGGAAAATATACATAAATATGTAAACAAAAAATAACTACCAAATTTCAAAATTGGCAACTTACCCATTGGCAGCGGCCAAAGTCAGGGTCAGGCAGGCGCCGGCTACAAGGTAGCGCAACATCTAGAATTTCGAACGATATCTCGAGGTGGGGAGTGATGAGACAGGGAGAGAGAGAGAGAGGAGGGAGAGAGGGAGAGAGCGAGAGAGAAAGTGTATTAAACCCTGAGAAAATAACCCCCAACCGAAAAACAGTCACCAAACTGATGGCTGGAGGAAAAGCCGGAAAATGAGGTTGTTTACGGTGGTGAGTGAATGGACGGAGGGGACCCACTGTCTGTAGGAAGGGGCGTGGCTTATTGTAGGTGGGGAAACGGCCAGAGTATAGGCACGGAATCGAGGATCGATTGCTGATGATTGATTTTTTTGCAAAATAAAAGGGTGGGAGGGGTAGCAGAGATTCTTTAGGAAAGGGCAGGCTAGCAGAGATTCTTTAGGAAAGGGCAGGCTAGCAGAGATTCTTTAGGAAAGGGCAGGCGAGCAGAGATTCTTTGCGAAAGCAATTTCCACGAGAATCTCTGCTAGCCTGCATTGCCAGTCTAGCGAATCGATGCCAAAAGACGGCAAATCTTTTGGAACGCACAGCTGCGCGAGTTTCGGCTGTTTTTGATGATTTTCCAGGCCCACCCCCCTCCTTGGGACGCCGATTCCGCGAGGCGACTGTTGACGTTAGCGGTAACTGTTTTTAGGCCCCGGAAATCAAAGGGCCCTGCCGGCGGGCCGGTTCTCAACCCCATTTGCATGCCGAAAATTGGGGAAGGACTGGACAAAGCACCGTTTTGAGGCGCAAGCCCTTTGGAGTTTTGCGCAACCGATACCGAGAAGTGAGGGCGGAAATCGTCTGAAATGGGCGAAATGATCGTGGATATCTTTCTCCCTCTCTCTCTATCGCTCTCTCGCTCTCTCTCTGGCCCTCTTCATTCCTAAATGATCCCTGCTAGCCTGCCAGACGATCCCTTATAAAAAATTCAGGAGGTTCCCCCACACATTGGTTGATACCAGAAAAAGCTTGGGAAATTGGGGTGATTCATTTCGGTACTATGAGGATGACGAGATAGCGAGAGAGAGCGAGAGAGAGAGAGTGAGAGAGCGAGAGCGAGCTACCCGGGGTATCACAGCCTAGACATAAGAAACGGCGGATACCGGCAAACTGGAAACCAGGCAAAGGGGACCTTTACGTCAGAAAAAGCCCAGATCGATCCCAAATGATCTCTGCTAGCCTGCCCTTTCCTAAAGAATCTCTGCTAGCTGGCCCCCGTATCGCGTGTCTGGCCCTTCCGGGGGCAAAGTGCGCGATTCGGTGACGCGTGGCGAGTGAGATGAGTAAGCATGTTTTTCATCTCGGGGTCACCAGATGCTGCATAAATTACGAAAAACAACGAGTTGAGAATTGGATGAGTCAGCCAGGGCGAGAGAGAGTGAGAGAGAGAGAGAGAAAGATGGAGAGTAGTGATGGTATTATTCAAATCTCAAATCTAATTTGCATCCGCCTAATCAAATCTGCCGGTTTGATTTGAATAAGGTTTCAGCACTTCAAATCAAACCGATTTCATTTGGACTTGGGGGTTTGAGTTCAAATCTGAAGATTTGAAGAGGATTTGAAAGGAGTCGAAAAAATCAATAGCACATTACGCGGATGCTAATTGTATGATGGCATGCATAATCAAGGTCATTTCCGGTTCGCGCCAGCTCGGCCATAGCGATTTTGTTATGTTTTGCATGCCGGCATCTCCATAAGATTTGATTAAGGACCGGAAGCTTAATCAAATCCTCGAGATTTGATTTGAACTCGTCCACGGGATTTCAAATCAAATCCGCCGATTTGAAAGTAGAGATGTTAAGAATCAATTAACAATGAAGATTATTTGCATACAATGGCACAATATTATTATATTTGGATGAGGCTGAGCGCATGACCAAGTAAAATAATATTATTTGACTCCGCTCGAGAAAGAGCCAAGTAAGATTACTTGATTTACTTGATTTACTTGATCAAACAATAGCTTTCTGGAATTCTGGCAGTTTTCGGATGGTAATGAACTTTATGACATGATCGCATGCTAATTTACTGGGTTCGCGGCACAATTGCCTGATTTGCATTGCGAATTTGCACAAAATCAAGTAATTTCGCTGAAAATCAAGTAATTCTCCCAAATCAATCAAGATCAAGTAAATCAATTAATTTTATTTTACTTGATGCTTATTCAAGCAAACGGCGTAAAATAATTTTATAGTTACTTGAAAATTTCAGATGCAAATAAAGTTGTTCAAGTAAATTTACTTGTTCATTATATTACTTGATTCGTAACATCTCTATTTGAAAGTAAAATTTTTGCCTTCAAATATTCAGATTTGAGCTCTCAGATTTGACTCAAGATTTGATTTGAATAACCCCATCACTAATGGAGAGAGAAAAACAGATTGAAACTCTCAACTCGATAAAACTCGATAAATCAATTTACCATGTGGATTCAATTTTGAAAATCGAAAGAAACGTGGTTTGGAGATGGGCGGAAAAGCCAAGTGGCTCAAGAAATCTAAAAAAAATCAAGATGTGAATGGCCGGAAATAGCTTTTAGCTGGGGCTTCTTTCGACCTGTCCGGCCATCTGATTGCACTTGGAGACATCGAGTGATCGTCTCTCACCCGCTCCCACTCTCTCTCTCTCTCCCTCTCTCTCTACCTCTCTCTCTAAATACCTGTAGTTAAAATACCGTAAGTTAAATATCAAAGTCTATAGTACTGCTGTGTACTTTTCTTGTTTTGGCCAAAATCTTTAGGGTCGCTTTTGGGGGTCAAGAAACGAGAAGCTGAGCGTTTACAATGGGAACAGAAGGCAGGGATACGGTGACGCGTGGGAAAGCACGGGACTGATAAGCCATAGCAGGGGCAAAAGACGAATTACCGGAGCAGGCAGGCTAGCAGAGATTCTTTGGGAAAAGGCAGGCTAGCAGAGATTCTTTAGGAAAGGGCAGGCTAGCAGAGATTCTTTAGGAAAGGGCAGGCTAGCAGAGATTCTTTAGGAAAGAGCAGACTAGCAGAGATTCGTTAGGAAAGTGCAGGCTAGCAGAGATTCTTTAGGAAAGGGCAGGCTAGCAGAGATTCTTTAGGAAAGGGCAGGCTAGCAGAGATTCTTTAGGAAAGGGCAGGCTAGCAGAGATTCTTTAGGAAACGAGAGGACGTGCAAATATATTCCAAGTCCCAGAAATTTTGGGGGCCAGATCCGTAACGTTTGATAAGAAAACTCGGGGAGAACCCCAGCCGTATATCGAAATCAGGTGCGCCGATCTGTCCCTCAGATGACATTCCAGAAAAAAATATCACACACCCGACTGCCCGGCGCCATCAACCCACTTTTGCACTTCACCGGGGGCCCGATGAGTCAGCTGGGGGTCGGATTCACTTCGATGCATTTTCTGGACGAGTTTTAAGGAAAATATGTTGGGAAGAAGCGGAAATTGTCAAAAGTTCCCAAAAAACAGCTTCTAGCCTAACCTTTCCAGCTTGTAAGCTTAAGCCCAAGCCTGGGCCGGAGCCAAACCGTAGACTAAGCCTGTGCTTAAAGGGAGCTTAAGCTTATGCCTAAGCCAAGCCTAAGCCTAAGCCCAGTCTTTATGCATAAGCCCACACCTAAGACGAAGCGCAGGCCTAAGACTAAGCCGAAGCTTCTAAGTCTAAGCTTCAACCTAAGCCAAGCCTAAGCCCAAACCTAGGCCCTTGTTCAAGCAAAAGCTTAAGCCTAAGAGTCCCAGGTTAAGCCTTAGCCTGAGCCTAAGTCTAAGCCAAGCCCCGCCAGTAGCTCATCATATTCACACACCCAAACTCCTAAGCCCAAACTCCTAAGCCCAAGCAGCCTAATCCCAGGCCGACGCTAAGCCTAAGCCGAAGCCCAAACATAAGCCTAATCCTAATAAGCTTTGGCCCAAGCCAAGCCTAACATTCCGGACCTTCGATCCCTTTCCCAAATGATCTCTGCTAGCCTCCCCCATATCTAAACGGTCAATTTCCCCTACCCGCAGCTCTTTTTCAGGCGCCCATGACAAATTTGCGGGCCGTGAAAATGGACGCGCACAAAAAGCAGGCCCCCCGAAAAAACGGGGCAGCTCATTAGGCTGACCTTTTGGCCCCCCATTCATTAGGGCCCATTCGGGGGCCCAGAAAGGGCCCAAAAGGGCCCTTCTGACAGCAGACTGAATAAATTTTCGCCATTGCATTTGGTCGGTGTACTTTTTTGACGAGGGAAAGTGATGTGTTCCCGGAGCGGAGTTTGGTCGATTTACTTAGGGATCTTTGCTGGCTTGCCGGTTTACAGATTCCTAAAGAATTTTTGCTAGTGTATCTAGATTTCTGCTACTCTGTTCCATTTCCTAAAAACCTCTGCTAGCCTGCCCAGTCCTAGAGGTCCGAAGAAACCAGTGCTGTCCTGAAGCACCTCTGCTAGCTTACCTCGTTTTGCCTCATGCCCTTTCCTCAAGAATCTCTGCTTGCCTCCCCAGTTAGCAATATGTGGCATTTTTTCGGTTCTGGACTGTTAGCGGGGGGGGGGGGTCAAATTTTCATCTATGATTTTCTACGGCCATATAGCAGAATAAAATTTTTTTTATGGCATTTTACATAGTTTTTAAATAGAACCACAATATTAAAAAATAATAAAAATGTTCTAAGTTTTTTATTTTGGTCAAAAATGTATCAAAAAACGAGAAAGGTCAAAAAAAATTTTTTTTTGTCAAACGTTTCCCAAATGTTTTTTATAACTATCTAGCAATCAAAACCTACTAATAACACGATAAAAATACATTCACATCTTATTTTATAAACAGTTCAGGACATCTTTATCTTTATGACAAGAATCCTTGCGAGCTGGCCAACGATGGGATTCCCTAAGAATCTCTGCTAGGCAGCCTTCTCACACTTCCGGGCTTCCTAAACCGAAGTTTTCCGGTACCTTCAGTAGCTCCGTGGCTTACCCGTATTCCTAAAGCGCTTCTGCTAGCCTTCCTAACAAAACCTTCGGCTTCTTCGAATGTCTTCAGGCGTCATACCTCTGTCTGTCTGTCTATTTG